ACGACATTACTGAGTGACTTAGCTAGGGGGGTGACATCTGTACTCAGGAAGCAAATGTGACGGTGGGTGAACGTGTTGGTGCCCAAGCACGGAGTGGGCAGAGCAGCACACTGTCCTGGTGGTCACCGTGTCCTTCACCACCTTGCACGCCATGCACCAGGCACACCCTGCATCTAAAAGGATGACGCCGGGCTCGTTGAAGGATGTCCCTGGGGAAGCAGAAACGATCAATGTCACCACATCTCAGGCCTTTGAACATCTGCATGGTGACGGTGGAAGCAAGCCGGCACTTCTGCTGCCCACAGAGGCGCATCTGTCTCAAAGCAAAGCGCGGTGTAGCTGAGCTCCCGGCGGAACCCACCGCTCTTTCCACGGAGCATCAATCATCTTTACTTGAAGGAACGACCGACAAACTGTGGGTATTCAGACTTGAGTGTCTGGTAGACGTTTCCTTGAAAATGAAGGAGGGAGCTTCAAGGAAGCAACTGACAGAATTTGCTGCCAATGATAAAATGTGAGCTTTCAAGTGAAAACTGGAATTTGGGGAAACTTGTATCTGCCACCGTGAGGTTGGCAGCCTCCCAATACTTACACATTTTCTGTTGAGCTCAGTGGTGAGACGAATGAGTGTGACCTTTTATATTTTGCATAATCATGACGTGTGCCAGCATTTGGAAGATTTGAATACCTCGGTGACCCAGCATTTCCCAAATGACCAATGTGTGATGTTGCAAACCCACCTGGGTGAAAGATGCAGTCAGGGGGCCAGATGGACCAGCAGACTCAGTTTAACAGCGTGAAAAAGCCATTGACAGGGTTTCAGATTCCAAATTGCCTAACATTTAAAACACCATGACTCGTTGAGTTTTGGTGAAGTATCAAAGAATATTCAGTTATCTGAAAAGGTTACTGAAATACTCTCCTCTTTTCCTAATACACATCGATGTGACGATGGATTTTCTTCATGTCCTTTAAACAACTTCAACTGCAACAAACTGAAAGCAGAAGTAGATGTTAGAACCCACCTGTTGTGGTTTTTTTTTTTTTGGTGTGTGTGAGGAAGATTGGCCCTGAGCTAACATCTGTTGCCAATCTTCCTCTTTTTGCTCAACAAAAGATTGTTGCTGAGCTAACATCTGTGCCAGTCTCCCTCTATTGTATGAGGGATGCTGCCACAGTGAGGCGTGACGAGTGGCGCCAGGTCCACGCCCGGGATCCAAACCTGCAAACCCCAGGCCACCGAAGCAGAGCATGTGAACTTAACCACTACACCACCGGGCCGGCCCCAGAATCCACCTGTTTTTGAAGATAGGTGTTAAAGAGATTTGCAAAATTATAAAACAATTCTGCTCTTTTCACTAAATTTTTTTTTTGGAAACAGATTTTTCAAAAAATGTTACTTATATTACCAAGTAATGAGTTTGTTGTTTTTAAATGAATTAGTATTTTTTTACATTCTCAGTTTTAATTTCACTATGATAAGTGATTAGTATCAACTCAGAGCTCTCTGGAGATCCTGGCTAATTTCTGACAGTGCTGGGGGGTCCCGGGACCAACAGCAGATTGAGAACGGCTGGTATATATAATCGTCTGATGAAATCAGTAAAAAAATTAAAAAGGAGGCAAAAAAATTTATATTTAGTTATTGTTCTTGGAGTTCAAATGTTGGAGGCAGTAAACAAGCTTTAAAAAGCCTCCTAGTAAGAGGTCATGTTGTGGAGATCACTGACTGCGTGAACATTTTGCGAACAGGCTCCGATGGATTGAGAGCATGCTTGTGGAGAGAGCACCATACCTGGTTCAGAGGCTGCTGCACTTAGTGACGGGGCGGGGATTCCAGTCCGGGCTGGACCACAAACAAGAACCTACAGCGACTCCTTGACCCTAACGTTCAAAAACAAGCAAACCGATCTACGGTGTCAGACCAGCCAGCGTTTACCTGGGGGACAGAAAGCCCCCGAAGACCCAGAGGCAGCATCCACCACGACTGTGGAAGCATCGCTGAGAGGTGCTGAGCCAGATGCCCTCCTCTGACAGAAGACACACTGGGCCCAGAGGAGAGAAGTGAGTGGCTTTTGTAAACAGCCCACAGGCCCAGAGCCAGGCTCCTGACCCAGGAGCCCACCTTCTGACAGCTGTCACCCCCAAAACTCGCCTCCTCCTCGCACACGTTCAGACGCTTCCACTTCAGCTCAGCCACAGGCAGGAATAATGTAGATGAGTGAGAGACACGAGCCAGAGAGGCCCCTACGTGCCAGCGGGTATAGACTCTGGCTTAAAGGAACACTGCCTCCCAGCTCCAGCCCTCTGCTGTGGGTAGGAACGGAGACTTCTGTTGTCAGACCCAACTGTTTAAGAGAAGATAGAAATCTGAATTTTGAGTACAGCTGCCTGATTTTAAACATTTCATTTTACTTAAAACGCAATTCTCCCGTTTTTGTTCTCTAGACTAAGGAAACCTCTCCTCTTTGGTGATCTTTAAACATGATGCATTTGAGTACATCTAATTGTCCTAAAGATAAGTTTATTTGATCTTAAAAAAAAGCAAATTCATGAATTAAGGCGATTTCTTAGCCTAAGGACCTGCAGGGTATGGGGAGGCGGTCAAGGAGAAGGGCCTTCACGGAAGTCAGGCTAAGGGGAAAAGTGGCCTGACAAGGCTGGTGGCACATCTTCACCGTTGTGGCCTCCTTGACTGTCCTTTGTTCCAGTAACTGTAGCATTTGGCAGAACAGCCTGTCCCCGGCTGGATCATGAGACTTGCAGACAGCAGCCGGGCACACACGTGGCTGGTGGCACTGCTCGCTGAGTAAAAGGTCACAGTGTGTGTACAGAGATCACCACAAGTTCAGGATCACGGAGGACACGCTCCATCACAGTGGGTTCTTCTCCCACAAGCATCGTGAAAATTAGGTCCACTGACGTTAGTCTCCCTGTTAGAAACGGAAGACGACTGACGCGGCAGGGTTCCAGCAAGGCAAACAGCAGAATTCTCCAACAGAAAAAGGAAGCTGGCTTCGTGGCCTGTTCATTGCAGAGTGGAATAAAAGGTTAATTACGCAAATACCAAACTCTGTTCCGGTCCCGAACGCTCAGGTATTTAGAGGAAAATGGGAGAGGAATTAAGATGCAGACTCACTGAGGCACGCTGGTGCTTTTGCGGAGGAATTTGTTGTGCCTTTCACGTTTGCTTTCTATCACATCCGACGCCCTAAAGAGCCGCTATGAGAAACTGCTTCCCACGGGGAACACGCCTGGCTTCCGGTCTTTCACGGAAAGCACTTTGCGAAGGGCTTCTGGCTTTGCGCTCCAGGCTGCCTGCTTAGCAGCACCTGAGCTCCAGCGGGATGCTCCTTTCACCCAGCGCCTCCGCTGTTTGCACTTCACCTCGAGGAGGAGCAGGCCCGAGTGCGCAGGCGAATGGACCGTGTCCACGCTGTGCACAGCTGGAGCGGAGCTGTCAGTAAGGAGCACGCGCCGTGACCCGGCCGACCCGGCCTCGCTGGATCAGACACTGACCTTTGGAAAACGACTTCCTTGGGTTCTCCGTGGACGTACCAGATGAATTCTGAAAGGTCGCGGCCGCTGAGGGTTTGTGTCATTCAGATTTTATGGTCTTAACTTACATTCTGAACACAACAGTTCTGCAACTTGGGTCTATTTTGCCAAAGGCATAAATGTGAAACTGTAAACAATAAGACAATCCAAGGGAAAAAGGTATATTTTCCCATCTTCCCAACTGTTAAGAAAGGTAGAACTGTGTCTTCTGACATACTCTCCGTCAAATCCCAGTAGCTCACGCAGGCAATGAGGGGGAGATGGTCCTCGGGGGCCTTAGAGCTTGGCCCCAGGACGACGAGGGTCCTTGGACTCAAGCCCCCCTGAAACCCCAAGCTTACTTGGCAAAGACACAAACAACAGGTTAGGGGAGGGCTGAAAGTGATGGGGCCGCAGCCCCAGCTCGGAGAGGGAAAAAGTCCAATGGGAACGCATTCCAGCTAAAGCCTAGGGGGCGTCCTCTGCAACCCTGGACATTTTTATACGGCGCTGTTTTTTGAAGAATTCAAAGGAAGTTTTTCCACATGTGACTAATTAAGCATATCCTGAAAACACTACTTTGAGAGATACTAGGTGTGTTAGACAGAAAACGGCCCCCAGAGACGTCCACGTGCTCATTCCTGGACGCCGTGAAATGTTATGTAACACAAGGGGAACTCAGGTTGCACACAGAATCGAGGCTGCTGACCAGCTGATCTTAAAATAAGGAGCTGAGCTGGACTGTCCGGGGTGCCCAGTGTAATCCCCAGGGCCCGTGAAAGGGCACAGAAAGGCAAAGCCTGAGGGAGATGGAAGGTGCTGCACTGCCAGCTTTGAAAAGACAGGACGGGGCCATCAGCCAAGGAATGTAGGCACCCCAAAAGCTGAAAGGCAAGGAAACAGATTCTCCCCATGAGCCACCCCTGCTGACACCCTCATTTCCGCCAGTGAGACCCATTTGGGCTTCTGACCTCAGGCCGCAAGATGGTCTTTCTGTGTGGTTTTAAGCCCCTAGGTTCATGGTAATTTGCTAGAGCAGCGACCGGAACCTAGCCACTCATCTTGCTAACCTGCTATTACTCTCTAGAGAGCACACCTGCCCTCTCTGCCTCAGTGTCCCTATTGGCACACAAGCATTTTAGTGACGCACACCTGGTGCCGTGGCTGCAGCCCCACCCACACAGTCTCCCTCAGCGCATGGAGCCAGAGCGCACACACCCTCTACCAGCAGGCCGGGGCTTCCTCTGGGCCTCTGCGGAATATTCCGGTACAGGGGAACCAAACACTGAGACTCGAGCCTGGGATGAACAGGAATCTGGGGACTGTCTGACAGGAACTTCCACCTGGGCAGGGACACGTGACAGAACTCACAGCGACTTCACCTGTCTCACCCCATGTGGTCCTCAGGGAGAGCCAGCGTGGGACACTCGGGTGGGGAAAGCAAATCATATCCACGCTGCACCTGAGTCCTTGCCTTTAAAATTTATTGACACGGAGGCACACAGACTCAAAGAATCACCCAAACGTGTTCGTTTGGAGAGAAAGTGTGTGGCACCGAGTGACTCGCTGCGGCTCAGGGCCAGAGCTCCCCCCGGGGGCTGCAGGACGCTCCGCGGCAGCTACAGGAAGCGGATGCCGGCTCCAAACTGGACGCCATCACATATCCTAAAAAGAGGGAACAAAGGTCAGGAAGTCCACCCTGTGGCCTCGGCTCGCCCGGCCGCCTCCACGAGGCCATCAGTGCACAGCCCTGCCTCAGCAGAAGCCCCACCAGCACTCGCGCTCTCCCAAGGGGACCGGACAGTCACAGCCCGGCGCTCCTCCTGTCCTCCTGTCCTCCTGTCCGCCCACCTCACCTGCCGGCCCCTGCTGCTTCCTCCCCTCCTGGTCTAAGCAGCAGCCTTGGGAGGACGGGAAAGGGAGGAAACGGAGACACAAATGCTCCTTGTTGCTCCCTCCTCACCTCCTTTATGCTCTCCCTATCCTGACCCAAGTGGCAAAAAGAGAAAAGAAGGACCTGGGAGAGACGTGTGTATGAACAATAAAACCTCTGGGGGCGAAAAAGCTGTGTTTATTTCTAAGGCTACCAGGCCAGAGGAAAGCTGCGAGGCACCTTCTGTGTGGAGCTGAGTGGCGATGAGAGGTGTCCTGGCTGAACGCAACAGAAATGGCTGTGGAGGAGCAGCTGGCAAAGCACAGCAAGCAGGGAGGACGGGGAGGAGGGGGCGGGATGGGGAGGGAGGAGCAGGATGGGGAGGAGGGGCGGGATGGGGAGGAGCAGGATGGGGAGGGGGGGCAGGATGGGGAGGGGGGGGCAGGATGGGGAGGAGCAGGATGGGGGGGGGGGGGGGATGGGGAGGAGCAGGATGGGGAGGGGGGGCGGGATGGGGAGGAGCAGGATGGGGAGGGAGGAGCAGGATGGGGAGGAGGGGCGGATGGGGAGGAGCAGGATGGGAGGGGGGGCAGGATGGGGAGGGAGGAGCAGGATGGGGAGGAGGGGGCGGGATGGGGAGGAGCAGGATGGGGAGGAGGGGCAGGATGGGGAGGAGGGGGCAGGATGGGGAGGAGGGGGGGGATGGGAGGGAGGAGCAGGATGGGGAGGAGGGGGGGGATGGGAGGAGGAGCAGGATGGGAGGGGGGGGGGGGATGGGGGAGGGGGCGGGATGGAGGGAGGAGCAGGATGGGGAGGAGGGGGCGGGATGGGGAGGGAGGAGCGGGATGGGGAGGAGGGGGCGGAATGGGAGGGAGGAGGGAGCGGGGAGGATGCGGAGGGCGGAGAGGACACGGAACACAGGGCAGGGAGGACAGAGAGGACGAGGAAGGACGGCAGAACTGGGGGCCGGCCCAGACCCTCGAAGGTCCCAGGGATTTCTGACGACAGCAGTAACCACCGCCCTAGCGGAGTCGACCCTGACTGCCCTTGAGAACCTGCTCCAGACCCAGGAAAGGGAGGACGCAGAGGTCACGTTGGTTGCGACCCCTGCCACAAGCAGACATTTCACAGCTGTTATTCTGAATGCTGTTGATAACCTGCAAACAGACCACCGAGCCCACTTTCCAATGAGCATGAAGGATGAGGGGTGAGGAGATGGCTATGGTCACAGCAGGAGGAGCAGAGCAGGACCCTGGACCTGGAGCAGGGCACGCACAGGCCTCGCTGCCCCGGTCGCCGTGGAGGACGTGTAGCTGTGGGGCTCCCTGTTTCCATGCCTCCGGCGATGCCCAGAGTAAGAGTCCCTGGGCCACGGCCCAGCACCTGCATTTCAGAGATTCCACAGCCATGCTTGTGTGCAGCGGGCTGAGAACCACCCGAGGTGTGGAGGACGGACTCCCCACGCTGGCCCGAGGCAACAGTGCCCACTGGAAGCCAAGCTCAGGAGCCAGACCGGCGCTGTACATGGGACAAAGGGGCCTGGCCGGGACCTAAACGCCAGGAAGCATAAGCTTCCAGGGAAGATGACATTCGGCATGCAAACAGCTGCTGACACTTGTGGAACACAGTGTTTCTGCAAGTTGTGGAAAACTTCTAGAAAAACTGGACAAGAATGGCTCCTTCATGCAGAAGAAAGTTGATGTTTCTGTTGTCATGACACCTGTGCCCTCGCCCCATCTGAGGAATTGTGAGGAATGAAGGTTTTCTTTTCAACATGACTGCGGGTGAGGGAACAAAATATCTGATCTCTTCAGAGCCACGATCGATCAGCGCCACTGCTGCTGCCGACCTTCTGCAGGGTGAAGGGTGCTCGGGAGCCAACAGCCGCAGAAGTCACCTGACCAGAAGGGACAGCTGCAGTCCCTTTGTGACCTTCAGAAGCCACACCAACATCCTCAAAAGGCAAAGATCTACCATGCAAACTGTGACTGCGTTTGTACAGCCTCGTTCTGCTCGGACCTAAATGACTTGTTTTTTCATTTTACACTATCAGGTCCATGAAAGTGGTCCCTGCTGGCATCTGCTATTTCGGAAAATGTCTGAAAATCAGCTACAAGGTAACAAGTCAGTCAAGCCCCTGGCTGACTTCAGAACCAGCAGGCATGCCAAGACAGGCTCATTTACTGCAACTGGACACAGACTAAACAGCTTCACAGGCACAGGTCTATGTGCTGAGACCAGACAAACGCGTCACAGAAAAAACACCCACTGCAAAGACTCAGAACGGTGTTGCAGAGCGACTCAACGCCAGGTGCACCAAGACGGCCTCGGCAACATACCCATCTTTCAGCTGTGTGTCCACCGTGTCTGTATCCTTGTTACTCGACTCAGGAGGCACCTCAGAAAAAGGTCCCACATGTCTCTGCCTCCCCTCCCACCATCAGGGTCTCGGGGCAGCCTGGCCGCGTGCACTCCAGGGCCATCCCAGAGGCCGCCCTGCCTGCTCTCCACCTGCCTCCAGCCTGGCAGCACCAGGCCCACCATGGGGCTCTTGAGGAAGGTCACACGGGGCGGGGCACCCTCCTGTGCTGAGCCCTCAGTGCCCGTGCACAGTCCCCCTCGTCAGGAGGGAGGCGTCCTCCACAGGCTCCCACTCCTTCACCGCAATCACTCGGGAACGCCAGGCGCTGGTCTTGGCACGGGGAATTCGGCAGTGAACAACCAGATGAGAGCCAGAACCCAAAGTCCTGGGCACGTGCCCGAAGGGAAAAGGCCAGAGATGAGAGGGCAAAAGGAGTGAGCAGCACTCCAGCCCTCCAGCTGGCCCTCCGGCCTTCCCCGCCCCTCAGTGCTGCCTCTGCAGAGTGATGGATCCTGGCGCCCACTGGCATTTCATGCTCCCAGCCCTTAGCTCCAGCTCTTCTGTAGCCTGGAGTGCTCTCCCCTGCAAGTCCCCAGCTGTCCTTCATGAAGCTTCAGCTCGGGTATCACCTCCTCCAGGAGGCCCTCCTTGCCCTCCCAGGCAAGATGACCCTCCTTCCTGTCTTTCTCCAGGGGGGCTGCTCTGCCAGCGAGCCCGCCTTATTCATCACCTCAGGGACTGCACTCAGTAATGCACGGAGCGACAGAACGCTGTTAGATCTCACACAACAGTGCCAAAAATCACCTCCAGTTGAAAATTTAGCAAACACTTCAAAACTGTTTCCACTTTTGTACAGGTCTGAATCCTAATTATAGAGTGCCTGCATTAACTATGGAGGAAATCTACGGACGATATGCACACATGTAATTCCCTATCCTGCTAGGTGCCTAATTTTAGAAATGAAGATTAAATTCTGGCAACATCACTCAACCTTCACAAAATTCCAATTTTGATGATAAAACTTCAAAGCCACACACGGCGTGAAGGCGAGCACCACATTCAAGGGTACCAGGCTGAGCCTGCACAGGAGACACTGCATACAAGAGCATACGCTGCAGCCCCGTGATGGGAACCAGAGCTGCGCCTGGCCTGGGGGCAGAGCAGCTGCCTCACGCTCTGGTCTTTAAATACCACGGGCACAGCAGGCTGCTTCCTTCGAGAATAAACCACATTTGAAACTAATCTCTGAAGCATATTTTCAAATTTGACCCAGCGACAGAGAGGTAAAGCGGAAGGGTGCTGCAACCACCCGTGTGAAGGTGGCGTGAGGAGGGGGACGAAGCCGGTTCCTCGGAGCGGTGGCCCTGACCCTTGGAGCACAGTGACGCCTAGCGGCCTCTGACAGCACTGCAGCCACCACGTGGCAGCGGAGGGACTGGATTTCCCCAAGTCACACGCCCAGCCTGCTGGGAAGTGACAGCGCTGGGCCAGTCCTGCGGCCGCACCCGGGGTCCATGGCTGTCTCAGAACGCAGGCCCGGAGGGCAGCAGGCAGTTCTCAACGCCATTACAGTGAAAGACACTAAAGCTACGGCTAAAAATCCACACGCACTTCTAGTTTTCTGTGCAATAAAAAATGCTTATAATGAAGTTAGTAGAGAATTAAAATTTGAACCAAAAAATCTGCCGTAGAGATAAGCAAGGGAGAAGGCTGGCTGTTTCTTCCACAGTGAAGGCCCGAGGTCCGAGTCCGGGCAGGGCTGGAAGGGGCCACCTTCGGCCCCTCAGACGGGAGGCGGTTCTTGACGCTGGTGTTTCGGTGCAGAGGAAAAGCACTTGGCCTCAGCCAGGCTGGCTCTGCACCCTGGCTCTGCCGCTGACCTGACTGCCACTGCCGAGCCTGTCTGCTCATCAGGCTCCACTGCCCAGAGCTGCTGGGAGCCTGGACAGGAAAACCAAGCTGGGCCTGGGTCTCCCACAAGGTAAGCAAGCACCCGCTATAGCCCACGGCCACCGCCCTCCCTTACGCTGAAAGTGCTGTGGCTTTCTCAAGACAGAGTCAGCCAGCCCTCCCCTCTTCAAAGCGTGGCTGGTCCACATACCAGCCTCATGGGAGAGCGTGTCAGAAACACAGCATCTGAGGCCCGCTGTGGGCGGCAGCAGCATCTGCCTTTACCAAGGTCCCAGGGAGTCAGGGCACAGTGCGGGGGAGAGGTGTAGGCCTGGCCGCCTGCATCACACGTCTGGCCACGTCCCTGGGGCAGGTGCACCCCCGCACCTCTGGAGCTCCCACGAGGATCCCACTCTCGCCTGGCTGCCAGGCCGGGGGCCCCGCGCTCACAGCTGTGGTGGGAAGAGGCTTTGCAGGAGGTGATGTGCAAAGCCAGCCTCGTGTCCCCAAAGTCATGGAAGTCTCGGGAATCTTAGCTGAGAAGGTATCTAACGAACAGAACTTGCTCTAGGAAAAAAAGTCCCATTTGTCCACATTGCACTGTCACTGAAATCAGGACACAGCGCCCCATGGACGGCATGTCTCAGACAGCCACCCGGGGGCAGCCATGCAGTGCCAACACACAGGCGGAGGGAAGAGGCCTCCTAAAGGAACATTGTCTGCTTCCTGTGTACCAAGCTGGCCCTGGCAGGTAAACCAGCAGCAAGGACAACACAAAAGAGCACCAACATTCACTGACAACACGCTGGGTGGGCTGCAAGGGCTTTGTGTGCACTAGGTCATTTAGCTCTCAAACCTGCAAAGTAGTCGCTATCATAGTGCCCACTGTCTGGACACGAAAATGGAGACCCAGCAAGGTTAAGTAACTCACTCTGGGTCACACAGCCAGAGTGGTCAAGCCAGGATCCGAGGTGGCAGCTGGGCTCCAGCGCACACACAGCCTGTACCACACTAGACCCCTTTTGGCTTTTGCTCTGTGCAAAGAACAGGCAGAGAGTGGAGGTGGATTAAGAGCCCTGGAAAGAAGGGCTCTAACCTCACTGGGGGGCCACGGCAGCCCTGCAGCCTGAGTCAGCCTTCCCGTGAGACAACGAAGGGGAGCAGACTCGACTGAGCTGATCACCATGAGCGTGGGAGGCACACACTGACTGCGCCTCTGCACTAAGGCTTTATTCGAGGCTGGCTAACGCGGCTCCCTCACCCACTACGCAGAAGACAGTGCAAGTACACGGGCACAGCATTTCCTTAAAGTAGGACAAACTGCAACTTCAGGCTTGACGCTCGAGCTATGACTCACACGGCACCATTTGGTGGCCTCGTGTCAACAGAAAACGAAAGAGAAAAAATATAGCCTAGAGTACTGAAGGCAGAAGCGTGACAAGAGAAGAGACAACACGGACACCACAGGATGGGCAGAAGGTGTGCATCCCCAGGTTTACACGCTGAAGCCCTAACCCGCCGTGTGATGGCGTCCGGGGGCGGGGGGGGGGGGGGGGGGGGGGGTGGCCACGGGGAGGGAATTAGGTTAGACGGGGGAATTAGGGAACTAGATATGATATGAAGGTGGGGTCCCATGGCGGGATCAGTGTCCTCATAAGAGACCCCAGAGCACTTGCTTGCCCCCCTGCCGACCCGTGCGGACTCAGTGAGAAGGCGGCCATCTGCAAAGCAGGCAGTGGGCCCTCCCCAGGAGCCAAACCTGCCAGCACCTCTATCTTGGACTTCCAGCCTCCAGAACTGTGAGGAAAAAATGCCCGCTGTTTAAGCCCCTCAGTCTGTGGTATTTTGTTCAAGCAGCCCGAGCTGACCCACACACACTCCCATGACAACACTTCTGGATTTTCTTAAGTGTATACAGCACATACCAAACAACACAATAAATGGAATTAATTTCTATAACTCTAAATGGCCGTGTGCCATTTAATGCATCCATGTAGTATTTAGCAGAGCTTGCTCAGTAAGATGATGGGTGGAGAAAGGACAAGCTGGTGGGTTTGTCTGCTGCTGAGAAAGCTCTGGAGAACGAGTCCTCCGCAGCCAGGAGCAAAGCTTTGCCCACGCCAGCCTCAGCTCCCCACCTGCAAATCACCCACTGGAAACATCTCGTTCTGTTTTCAGCAAGCAGGATCAATAATGCCTTGTCGATTCTTCCGGCCAGACCTCCCCAGGAGCCCCCACTACTTGGCAACAGGAAGCGCAAACAGTGTGAGGTGAAGGGATGGGAACACAGCACTTTTTTCCCCTCCAAACTCGATGGAGAAAAATACATACATTCTCATTCTTTTGCTAATTATTCAATTTCTCTTAAAATCTTGAATCTTAAAGGCCACTGATGAAATGATTACCCATGTCCAGAATAAAATAAAATTGCTAGAAAGTGCGACGCAGCGGTGGAGCACTTGCGGCACCTACCTGTCACCCCTCTGCACGCCCATGGGGACGCAGTAATTAAGTTCCAGCCGGGCGATGTTGCCGAGCCTGAGGACGATCCCGGCACCGTACGACCAGCGGATGCACTCAGCCAGCTTACGAATGTGAGCTTTGGGGCCCTCCCCTGAAAAGAGAAAGGGGGTGTGAACAACAGCATGTGGCCCCTGTCCTTCCACAGCTGTCCTCGGACAAGCCCTGGCTCTCTCCCTCGCTGTGCGGCCCTTGTAATTTTTAAAGCCAGGCCAAGATATCCAAGGAGAATGCATGAGGTGAGAGTAGGACCAAAATCCAGAGAGGGCTTGGGACCACACCTACTCCCTGCCCCTGAAGCAGCCAAGCCTCCTTAAGTCTGTGGGCCTGGCACATTCGGTGCCCTTTGCCTAAAAGGGCATTTCCCCACGCCCACCACTGGGAAGCCCTGCACCCAGCCTCGGTTTGAGGGCCTTCTCTTCAGTGAAAGATTTCCAGATGCCTCTTCACACCCCCTAGCTGGACATGCCTGCTCTGAGTCTCCTCTGGCCCTGAGCTCCCTGAGGAAAGGACCTGATCGTATCAGCACTGTGGCCACAAGGACTGGCACAGAGCAGGTGCTCAAGAAATGTTTGCTGAATAAATGAATAGATTTTTCTTTGCAATACAGCATTCGATGGTGATTTTTTCATGCATGTTTCATTCATTGAACCAAACAACTTTATTCTGGGCAAAGTGTCCCGTGTTGTAGGAATTTTTTTAAAGGAAGGTGTGGTCCCTAAATTAAAAGACTAGGTAATCTAACAAGACAGACACCTATTTGTGTGCTACGCTTTTAAACACGAAGTCAACTGTACCATAACAGTTTCTAAATAGTCCAAGTTATACCGTAGTTGAGGTTGCAGAGGTTTCCTGCGTTGAGGAAAAAGTGTGTTCTGAAAAGTTCTCCAAAGCCGCCCTGGCCAGGCCGGAAAGGGAGCGGGGTGTACAGGTGCAGGCCGCCGGCCCAGTAGGCTTCTCCACCCAGGTAGTCGCCTAATGAAAGAAGGGTGCAGAACAAAGACAAGGGCTCATAAATTCCACACACAGTGACATCCACAATCTACACAAGCAAGGTGCAGGCTGCGTACATGACACCCAGTGCTCAACTCTGAACAGCCACTCTTCTGACTCCTGATGCTGTTGACCTCATGTTAAATCATCTGTCCTTTTCTCCTGTCCTGTTTTCCTTTTCTCTTGTTTTATAATTTGCTTTAACTGAAAAAAAGATGCTAGCGTAATTTAGGAAAGAATGAAATCAGTAATTTATCACATTTGTAAAATGCTTGGAATAAACAAGTGAACTCACAGTTGTCTCCACAACTTCAGGCCACTAGATCACTGTCACCTGGCAAGTGAAAGGTCTTATTGGGCAAAAGTCTTGGGACCACGATATGGAGACAAAATGCGGAAAACGTCTCTGCACTTTCTGGAAATGGCCGTACATGTTAGGATACACAGCATCTACTACTACTCAGCATACAAGGAAACAGCACCCCAGCTCACGTCCCCAGAGAAGAGGTTCCTTTTTAAAGGTTCATGACCATGTGGGGTTTTTTTTTTTCCTTTGGACAAAGGTTATTTTGCCAAAATGCAAGACTATGTGCTGAGAGTATGCAAATGCATTATTTCTAAAAATTCTCCTATTCACTCCATTTTAACTATAAATAGCCATAACATTAAGGACACCAAAAAACCCTCCAAACGCTGAAACATCTACACTTCCTTGCAAAACACTAAAGTGTCTTAGTACACTTTAATACAAAATGACAGACCATGAAAAAGAAAAATGTGTTGTCTCCAAGATTTGCCTCGAGGAATGAGCTGCTTATTCACATAGACTCCAGCGCCACCTCAGTCTAGAGGAAACGAAGAACGGACAAATAGCAGGAGGGCAATTGAGTCTGCTTTCTGTTCCCCAGCAACTGCTCATCTCTTTTCTTAAATAACCTATTTTATTCTGATCATAAAAGTAATATACTCATTGGAGAAAATCTGACAAACATAGAGAAGCAGAAAAAAGGAAAATCTCCTTTAATTTCTATCATTCAGAGATAACTGGCTAACTAGTGTTCTTTCATCCAGTGAATTATAAGGAACAAATAAGAAAATAAAATGAGTCATTTTATATTTATAGCTTTCAGTCCTTTTTTTTAGTTTAATACATTATAAGCACTTTCCTCTAATACTTTAATTCTTTGAAAATGATTTTGATACCTGAATAATCATATACATACCATAATATAATGATCTATTCCTCGTCTATTGTCATATTGGTGTCTAACTTCTCCAGCATGGACACTAACCTGTGATGAGTTTCCTTGCACACACACACACATTTTTAAACCCTGTCTTGAAGTATAATATACATACAGAAAGGTACACACATCCTAAGTGTACAGCTCAGTGAATTTCCACACACAGCGCACGTCCATATGATGAGCACCCAGAACAAGAAACAGACGTGCAGCCCCCGGAAGGCCCGGTTCTTCCTTCTAATCACTACCTGCCACCCACGCCAAGTGCAACCACGACCCAGTCATCCGACCACCTAGGTCTCCACACTTCACACAGATGGAGTCACACAGGATGCATGCTCCAGGTCTGGCTTTTGTTTGCATGTTTCCGAGGCTTGTTCATCATCATTCAGCCAGTGGCTGTAACTTGCTCACCCTCATTGCTGTATAAGATTCTACAGTGTGAAGACAACACGATGTACGTATCATTCTATTGCAGACGGGCAGTTGGGATTCCAGTCTTCAGTTTGGGGCTATTATTAGTAGTCCTTGTAAGTATACATTTCAGGCTCTTGATACATACTGTCAAACCGTTTTCACAAAGTTATGCCAGTTTACATTCTTGCTCTTAACTCTTATCAATGGCCTATTTGATAGGTAATTAGATGGATAATCATTGTGTTTTTTCAGGCAAGTGGAAGACTCCTAAACTGTAGTATAATCACTATGTAATCCTTGCTTATAATTAAAAAATAAAACTATCCATAAATTGCTACTTTTCTAAAAAAATGACACTAATAAAGCACTCTAAAAACAAATGAAAAGAAATAATCTATATTTTGCGCAAAAATGTATGCACAGGGCAGTCATTATTTATAATAATATAAAATGGAAACAACAAAGATGTTAAAAAAATAGTTAAGAAAATCAGGGTACAATAATGGAATAATATGCATCCAATTAAATGAACAAGCTTTCTAGAGAGCAGCATAAAGCCTTCAAAATATTCCAAATCCTTTTGCGCCAGCAATTCCACATCCAGATGTTTATGTTATAAAGTAAAACTTATAGATGAGCACAAAGAGTCAGTTATTCACTGTTACATTGTTTTATAATTGTAAGAAAAAAAGAAAACAGCCCAAATGTCTAAAACTTGGGATTTGATATAAAAAGATTATAGCATGACAAAAACATGAAATATGCAGCCATTAAACACGATAAAGTTTTCATCTCTCTGATTCATTGACGGCATGGCCATTTTGGAAGATGCTCTGGCAGTTTCGTACAGAGCTAAACAAAGTTTTATGACCCAGCAGCTGCACTCCTTGGTGTTTACCCAAATGAGCTGAAACCTTCTGTCCAAACAAAAACCTGCACGTGAATGTGTCTATCAGTTTTACGCGTAACCGCCAAAAACGGGATGTCCTGCAACCAAGAAGTCCTTCAACAGGTGACGAGATCAACTGTGGGAGAGTCGTACACTGCAGTATCATTCGGCAATAAAAAGACAGGATCTATCCAGATGTAGAAAGACATGGAGGAAACTTAAATGCATACTGCTTAGTCAAAGAGGCCAGTCTGGAAAGGGCACATGCTGTATGATTCCACCTATATGATACTCTGGTAAAGGCAAAACTACGGAGACAGTGCAGAGATCAGTGGCTGCCAGGGGCTGGGGAGGGGGCTGAGCAGGCGGAGCTAGGTGCCTTCCAGGGCCAGGAAACTTCTGTGTGACTCCGTAATGGTGGATACGTGCTGTGATGCATTTGTCAAAACCCATGGAACCACACAACACAGAGGGAACCTAATGTGAACCACGAGATTTAGTAATAAAGCACCAATTCTGGCTCAACAGTTGTAACAAGTGTCCCACGCTAATGCGAGACGTTAATAAGAGAGGACGCTATGGAGTGTGCACGGGAACTCCGCAGTTGCTGCTCATTTTTCTGTAAACCTAAGACTGCTCTCAAAATAAAGTCTGTTAATTTAAAAACTGATGGTATGTCAAAAAGATGAAATAAGCAGCCATTAAAAATGATAAAGTACTTATTCCTATAAAAACCTTTATCATATATTGTTGAGGGATGGTGGGAGAAACAGGTTAGAAAGCAGCATGTAAACAAAACAAAGCTCGAGTATAAAGACACGCGGGTTTAAACAGGATGCGTGCGATCAGAGGCCATTGTCACGGATTTTCTGCTTGGATGTATTTTCTCGTTTTTCTATAGTTCTCCCCACAAATATCCTTCCACACCTGCCGTGAGCTAGACGGTGTGTAAGTGCTAATTCTCCTGCAGTGAAACATGAACGCCCATTATCATGGTACTTCAAACAAACACACGATTTCAAAAATGAGGCGTGAGCCTGGTTTCATTTTGGCGGTGTTGTTTGGCGGTGTTGTTTGGCGGTGTTGTTTGGTGGTATTGTTTGGCGGTATTGTGAGGAACAACAGACCTTCGCTCTGTGGCCCAACGCTGTGCATGCTGAACCCGCGCACACTCGTCGGTCCCCCGAGGTAGAACCTGGAAGACAGGGGCAGGCGTCAGAGGAAAACCATCGGTGGAGGCCGACGTGGCACAAGGGAGGCGCGTGAGTTAGGCCCACGTTCAGCATCGTCAACGACATTTGCAAGCGGTGAAACATTTAAGGACTGGGGAGATGCACAGGAGTAAGGCGAACTTCATAAAAATCCAAATTTCTAATCTAAACCAAAATCTAAACATCCAAACAAACGCTTAAAACTCCTGGGGATTTGGTTGAAATACAAGGCAAAAATAAAGACACTTCTTCAGCAAAGAGGCACAGGGTGGACCGTCCACTGTAAAGAAATGCTCTGCCGTCTGTAAGAATTCATCAGGCAGCTCCTTTGCAAAATGGCCTTTTACACCTCACAATGCAATATTAAGTTAAAAAAAAGCAGAATACAAATACAGAATAGTGTGATCCCAATTTTACAAGAACAGAAACATAATACTAGAAGGAAATAGACCAAAATAGAATTATTGTTATTTTTAACGTTTTTTGTATTTTCTGCAATGATTTTTAACTAGGAAAAATGTATTACAATTCAAAAATTGAATCTCTCTTGTGCTCCTTAATGCACTGGGTTCTCACACAATTTTATACTACATCTGAATAAAATGAAAAGCATGAATTAAAAGTTACTTAGAAATCTAGTCCACTTTCTACAAAATCTAACAGCTTATTAGAACCTGATTTTAGACCACAGTAATTGCTAAATAACTAATTAAAAAGATGAGCGAAGCTGTAATCTTTCCCACACAGCTGCCATGGAAGCAACAACCGGCTGATGCCCCCGTGGCCCTCACTGCCCGTGGTGCCCTCGCTGGCCCTCTGACTGCTCAGAGCCTTCCATGGGTCTGAAACGGCACAGAAGGAATGGGCGACAGGGCACTCTTTTCCCAATTTTCCTGCCAGGTAAAAGCCTTTATGAATTTATTCATTTGAACTTGAGTTTAAAAGCCTATAAATGTGTTTTTTTACTATTTGGGATTTCTAAGCAAAGCCTTTCTGAATATCTCATTAACATTAATTACAGAAACAAACGGCAAGTTCCATTTTTTAAAAAAATTATAAATCACACATATTCTTTTGAAAGAATTAAATAACGACCCAGGAAGCACAAAAAGTGAAAAGGTTCTTCCCCCTGTCCTCATCTGCCCACTGCATCCCCATCTCCACAGCTGAGTGCTGTCAGTGGTGGCTGACTTCCCAGACCCTCGCAGCTACACCTGCAAACACAGAGCCTGGAGCTCTTGCCCCTCGTCAAAGAGCAATCAACCGAACACGTTTACACGCAATTTTTTTTTTAATTTTATTTTTCCTTTTTCTCCCAAAGCCCCCAGTACATAGCTGTGTGTTTTTAGTTGTGGGTCCTTCTAGTTATGGCACGTGGGACGCGGCCTCAGCATGGCTTGATGAGCAGTGCCATGTCCACACCCAGGATTCGAACTGGCGAAACCCCGGGCCACCGAAGCGGAGTGCGGGAACCTAACCACTCCGCCACGGGGCTGGCCCCTACACTCGAATTTTAACCCATGGACATCTGTCTCATTCTTTTTTTTTTTTTTTAAGATTGGCACCTGAGCTAACAACTGTTGCCAACCTTCTTTTTTTTTTTTTCCTACTTTATCTCCCCAAACCCCCCGCCCCCCGTTGTATATCTTAGTTGCAGGTCCTTCTAGTTGTGGGATGTGGGATGCCACCTCAACATGGCCTGCCGAGCGGTGCCATGTCCGCACCCAGGATCCGAACCCTGGGCCACCGCAGCAGAGCACACGAACTTAACCACTCGGCCACGGAGCCGGCCCCTGTCTCATTCTTAATAATCACACCGTCTCTCTAGAATGGTTGTGTCTGAATTTAATCATTTCCCTACTGGCAGTTTCAGAAATTTTCTATGATCAACAATGCTACGATGGACATCCTTGCACATAAATCTTTGTATACTTATAAACATATTTCTGTAAATTAGATTCATGGAGGTGAAATTGTTAGGTTCCAGAGCTCAGAAATTAAAAATTTTTTTACTTCCAAGTTGCCAGACAAAAAGGCTGAATTAGTTTAAGCTAAAATAATATTTTAACTAACGCAAGGTCAGAGTTTCTTGCCCTCAGGAACAATTATTAGAATTATAAAGCAACAGGTCCAGCTTCATACTCTGCTGGCAGGAGTATAAACTGCTATAAGCTTTCTAAAAAGGAGGCTCCAGCAATATTCTTTATGAGCCTTAAAAATGTTCACATTCTTTTCAGACAGTAATTCCACATTTACCGATCTCTCCTCAGAAAATAAAAGGAACAAAAACTATTAACAAAGTTATATTCTTCACAGTGTTACTTATACGCCAACAATGCAACATTGAAATGCCGCTTATAAAAAATTTCTCATGAACTGGTCAATGTTTTACTCTATAATTTCTTTAAAACTTTTTAAAAAGCAGCAAGGACATAAAACTGTGCAAAATACAGTATATCAACAATTTAACACAGATGTATAGATAGACTTATATGTACACACACAAACACAAACACACATCCACAAAAAGTAGACTAAAAGGAAATAGTCCCAAATGTTAACTCTGCCTGTCATAAAGCAGGACTATCCTCTTACTTCCTTTAAACATCTGTTTTTATAGTGCAACGTGTATGCACTGTGTTCTTTCATACTCAAAAGAGAATACAAATTTTTTAATATAATGAAACAAGTTAACTCCCTTCCCCTCCCCCCGGAAAAAAGCAAAAAATATTGCGTAAGAGGTATACTGGATATTTTGAAATTAGTTGAGTAAAGTTTGGAATATTTGCTCTCCTAATAGTTGAACTTCTCTAAAACATCTTATAAGGAACCAACCACAGAGAGCCTCAGGGAAACATTCGCACATTACCCTCCGTTTATTAGAACTTACCTATCAGCGATACTGGACGGTTTATCACCGATGGGGACCAACATTCCACCCCAGAGAGATGCTGAAAAGACCTATTGAGATATAAAGAAACAACCGTTTTCTCCCAGGATTTCCGTCCTTCCAATGAGCATCAGCAGATAAAACGCACGGATCTCTGGCTGTGGGCCACATGCCGGGCGCCTGCGGCGTGCAGAGCTCTGGGCTTGGGCACGAGGCCACAGGAGAACACCTGGCTCGGGCAGCTGAAGGAGTACAACTCAGAGTACCTGTGGATCCTTTGAAAACTCGCAACTCCAGACTTCAAATAAAGACATACTGAACACAAGCAAAAGACAAGCCCAAGCCCCGAGCACGGCACGGCTTCCATCCTGACACAGGACAGCGCCCTCTTCTGCAAGAAGCTGAGCCCGGCGGGACGAGCCACGGCCTGACGGAGCGGGAGAGCAGGGCTCCAGACAAGTGATGCTGCATCTGCCCAGGCCTCTCTGCCGGGGCCTCAAAACATACGGGGACGAAGGGCACACAGCGCCTCAGGTGAAAGAAGGCAGAGGTGACAGTGCTCCCACAATCACGAGACGCAAAGACACACAGCTTCCAATGCCACCCGCAGGGACACGCTCTCTAAGAGCTCAGGGGCAGTGACCCGATCTCAGATCTGGGATCCAGTCTTCACGTCCGCGTGAACAGTCTCTCCCGCCCACTGCCCTCTGGCCTGCTCTGTGGAGGGTCAGACACGCTGCACAGCTTTAGATACACTGCGTGTAAGGTGCCCACAAGGATGGAGTCGAAATGTTCAGTAGCCATGAACCTGGGGCCTGGAAGGAGAGCGAGGCACGCGCTGGGAGCCGCAGCCCAAGGAGAGCGGGCAGAGCAGGAGACAGCTGCGAGAATCCCAGGGGGAGACACTGTCCTAAGGTGGAAAGGTGGCAAGTGTGAAGGAGAGTGGGGTGTGGAAGAGGGTAGCGGTGCCAGGATCAAATGATGACAGCGTCAGGTGCTGGAGAGGGCGCAGAGGTGACTGAAAGAGCTCGCTGACGTGAACAGAGGCCTCCAGAGGAAGAGCAGTGGCAGAGGAGACATGGGAAGCAAAGCCAGAGAGCAGCGAGCCCAGGGCGGACAGAGCGTGGACGGCCGACGTCAGAAACAGACGCATATCCCATTTCATCAGAACTCCCTCCTCGGCCCCAGGTCTTAAGTAGCTGAGGGCACAGGCCACAGTGTGTGTGATGGGGAGTGCGGACAGAGAGCTGGCTCCAGTCACCTGGGCGCTGGGGACAGCGGAGAAGCCAGGTGTCTCCCAGCCTGGGGCTCCTCTGCCTTGGTCAGAGCCTAGTCACCCACTCCTCAGGTCCTGAGTTAATCAGGAGAAACTAAACCAAACTGGATTAAGGGTTAAAAAAAAAATTCCTGGAAGTGCCCAGAGCCCTGCAGACCCAGCAAAAGAAGGTGAAGACTCAGAACTTCTCTGCAAGCAACCTCAGGAGGGAGAGGACAGCATCCCTCTGTCCTCCAGACACATCTCCTTGACGGCCCCAAGGTGGTACACAGGGAAGGGGCTCACGCGGCCCCACGTAAAATGACTAACAGAGATCCTTCGCAAGAGAGGGACTACCACCTCTCTCCAGAGCATCTTCAATCCTAGCCCAATTAAAGGTGGGCACTTCCGTTTCAAGCATTAACATTCCGAGCTTCCACGTCAATGCTCTGGATCCTCAGGAACTGAGATTTTCTACTAAGATTCCAAAAACGAGGGATAAAATTGTGGGCGACGACATTCTGGCTAGATACTCACTGACTCGAGTATGAGTTGTTTGTTCAACTGAAGCTCAAAATCTTCTTTGATGAAGCTCACGTCCCCTCCGGTGTAGCCTGCCAGCTCCTGTGGGGGAGAACCCTCAGGTCAGAAGGGAGCAAACGGACCTACCACAGGGGTCCCTAACCACGGCTACTGGGATCACTGTTTGATCTCGCTGTTCCATATTTTTACAAAGGCAACAGGCCCCTTCTGTCTCCCAGCAGCTATATTCTAGCTGTTCTAGACAGGACCAGGGGACTGAAAGACACACAGACTCATCAGACCTAGGGAATGACCACAGAGTACGCTATCCCTCTACGTGAGAGAAAAACACGGTGACACGAACACTTTATTACAGAGCTTGCAATGGATGCTAGGACTTGGCTGGCCTAATCAGTGTTTGAAAAAAAATTAGCCAAGCTTTTACAATTTGGCACCCTTCATATAAAAATCTGACTTTGAGCTGCTCCTCTGAAACCGAGGACCAGCGCCCCACCCACCCTGGCCCCTCTTCCTGGCAGCAGCTGCCTGGCGCCTGCGCACACAGCACTTGCAGGCCCTGTCTCAGCGTGTTCTTTAAGAACGAAGGAAACCCTCCCAGCAAACCGCAGCTCTCCTCCTGGCCTGCTGAGTGACACCCTCGGAGGCCAGGACGCCATCCCGACTCCGGGCCCTCTGACGGCACGAGACTGAACTGCAGGCAGCAGGTCCAGGGCTGGGAACCCTGAGAGGCCACTGACAGCCCTGCAAGCCATTCCAGAATGCTCTTTACAACTAACGCTCAACATTAAAAACGTGACAACTCTGTGTGACTCCCTGCCCCCCTTGGGTCACGGGGCCTGCAGAGGTCACAGGTGAGGAACAGTACCTGGTTCACTTTCAGCAAGGCACCCTTTCTTGGTAGGATGGAAGAGTTCCGAGAGTCGATGACCATCGCGTGCTGAAAGAAATTTGTATTGGGGTTATTTTCACTTCAACCAGGTCTACAAACAACAATGAGCACTGATTGGGCACCTACTGTATGCGAGGCACTGTGCTAACCCCGGCAGCTCCTACATCACTTGATCTTTACAAAAACCCCGGGAGGGAGGTAGTATGTCACCCTACGTCCGGTCTGCGGGGACGGGGAGAGCAGAAGCAGCCAGGCCCGATGGTTAGGTGGGAGATCACGATCCTGTCCCGGGGCTGGTTCTCTCAAGGAGCCCGACAGCCTGACCGAAGTCGACCCAGCCAGCCTCCTAACGACTTCTGAAAGCTGAAATTCCAGTCGGCTCTTAAGCGCACCCTTCCCACACCACCGATGTTCTTCAGGAAAACCTGAGGTTGTGAACATAAATTCACTAAGGGCCCAGGAGCAACTGCTTTTGCCACCCAACCTAGGACACTTCTCAGTCTGTCCCGACGTCGGTGAAGGCTTGTCCCAATGTACAGCACGGCTGCATCGAAGTATCTAAATCTTCAGTTGAACAAGGAAGTCCTTACCGAGAGAGACGATTTCAGCGAGTGCCCACTTTCTTTTCGGACTGCAAAAGACGCCGTCCTTGAGAGGCAGCCCAGCTCCCGCCACACGCCTTCCCACTTGACGGTATGGCTGGTCTTCCAGATGGGAAACTGCAATGCACACGGGCTCGTGAGAACCCTTTCCGTGCCTTATGTACGTGGTGGTCATCCCAAGTCAGGACTCAGAATGAGGCATCACTCAGTTATTAACTAAATACCTAAGATACATATTTTTCAAATGATGGGTGGGAGGGAGAAAGAGAAGAGGAAGGAAGGAAGGGAGAGAGGAAGGAGGGAGGGAGAAGCGCAGAAGACCATGATCTCCACCACAGGAGACACTGCTCACAGCGGCAGGACTGTGTCCTGGGTGAGCAGACAGCGTCGCCTGTCTGAAGGCTGCCTGCAACCCTGTAACCGACAGGTTTCTCTTCCATCCCTAAGACAACTGGACACACCCTGCACCCGGTCCTCCCAACCCCTGGTCTGAAGCCAGACAGGTGACCCTGATGACCCCTATCGGCCCCCAGAGAAGAGCAAGGAGACAGTTACATGTGAGTGAAGAATACCCTGGCTGCAGCAGGGGCCTGGCCAAGTGAACCCGGATGTCCAGGCAAGTGGGACCTGCCTCGGCCTGACCCTCCCCTCCTGAAGCCAGGACAGCCCGTCTTAGACTTCTGTCGTAGAGAAATGCCCAGGCTGTTTCTAACAGTGAATGATGTTGCCTGGTCTCCTTGGGAAGGATGACAATGATGTAACCCTTACAAGGAAGCCAGGTCACTTCAACTTCACAGAGTGAGTCCTCCGCTGGGCATTCTCTGTAGCCCCCAGGCCTGCCAGAGAATTTAAGGCCCAGACATCATCCGGAATTCAGGGTGAAAACTTGGGAGCACCCACCCCAACACGATTACTTATCAAGCGCCCACAGGGCATCTCACCAGGTGCCGGGGAGGCAGCCTTGCTCACCTGCCGGTTCTGCACTCAGGGCCACCCAAGTGAGATTCACTACTTTCCCCAACGCCTGAGGAAGGCGCAGAGCGGACCTACAGCATTCCTTCCTCACAAGGCAGCGCTCCACAAGAGAAGTGCTACTGCTCAGAGGAGACACACCTCACGTCTCTGGAGTCACTGTGAGGACGAGGCAGGGCCAGACAGCACCACTCTGTGTGTCGTGAGCCCTGCGTCGTGTGGGCATCGAGGACACAGTGAGGAGGATGCAGTCCCTTCCTCCAGGAGCTCACTGCTCAGCTTCAGGGCTGTGGGCTGCACAGCCTCTGTGCCTCCCCCTCTCTCTCCTCCACCACAGACCTGCCCTGCAGCCCGTTCCAACCCTCTGCTAGTCTCTGTGGATAAACAAGAATAAGAATCTGCTCTTTAAAAAAGCCTCAGAAAAAAAGAGATAAAGGAGGGACACAGGGAAGACAGACGGGGAGAACCCTCCCGCTGCAGGCCACACTGCTGGGGCCACTGGAGACCTGCTGGAGGATGGAGGCGGAGAGAACGTGTGCCGGGGGTCCCCTTCCACATCCCCAGCACAGGGCAGACGGGTGCCTGAGGGCTACTCCCTTCGGAGAAGGAAAATGGAAGCACAAACGCTCACAGGCGCTCACGTCTACACGCTGAGCTGTGCCGCCTGGGCCTCCCTCACAGTGCTCAGAGCTTTGGTGATCCTGGGCTGCGGATGAGAATTATGAATGGCTAACATGTCCCACGTGCCTCTAAGGTGCTGAGTGGCAGGCAGCAGTCAAGAGCAGGGGCTGGTTCTCAGACCAGAATCACCAGGGAGGCACAAGCAGCTGAGTTTCCTGGGCCCCATGCCCAGCGAGGCTGGTTCAGCAGGGCAGGTAGGACCCACAAATTTGCATTTCTTTTTTTTTCAGGGGAAGACTCACCCTAAGCTCACATCTGTTGCCAATCTTCCTCCTTTTTTTCTCTTTCTCCCCCTTCCCCAAAGCTCCATACATAGTTGTGTATATAGTTTTAAGTTCTTCTGATTTTCTACATGAGTCGCCATCACAGCATGGCTACTGACAGAGGAGTGGTGTGGTTCTGTGCCCAGGAACCGAACCTGGGCTGCTGAAGAGGAGTGCGCTAAACTTCAGCCACTAGGCCATCAGGGCTGGCTCTGAATTTGCGTTTCTAACCAGCTCACCAGTGAGGCTGACCACGCTGCTGGTCTGAAGACCACCAGTGGGGAACTACTTTTATAGGGCATGTGTCTCAGGGTCCTTCCTCGTTAACTAAACAGGAGGGGAAGAATAAGGACAAGTGTAGAAAGGACGGAAAAAACAGCAGGCTTCATGGTAAAGCCAAAAAATGGTCAGATGATAGCAATTCCATTTGCTGCATTTAGTCGGACTCTGTTGGACGTAAACTCAAGTGTAAACCAATGATGCAAGCTTCAGTGACCCATAGTGACTCCACTGGCTGCAGAAGCTATTGATCTTAGTGCATATGAGGACGGACAGACAGACAGTGTCACAGGAAGTCAGGGGCACAGAACAAATGTGACCAGGTCAGAGGAGCTGCGACCGTGGATCTCAGCCATCTCGGGCTCTGGCAGTTCACCCTCGGTCAGCAGAGAGGTGCCCACCTGGGAGGCAGCCAACAAGAGGGCAAGGAACAAAAGGTGACGTCAGCAACAAGGCACATCACTCCAACTGCCAGACCACAACCTGTCTGTGCTCTCCTGGCTAGGCCCCGCTCTCAGTCTTTGGGCATTAAGTAAATAGATACTTAGTTTTCACTCAGGTGCACAAAGAGAAAGACGGTAAGGCTACTCACACTATACTCTGCTGACACTCCTCTGTCCGTCTCCCGCAGCGAGCTCCAGGGGAACTGTCCAGTGACCTTGTATAAGTTTACGGAGAAACTAGGAGGCAATGGGACAGAGCTTGAAAAGCTGAAACAGCGATTAGAACCTGTACACACTAAATCAACAGATTTAAAAACACACTTCTGGAGTTCATCTTCGTGAGGAAACCTAGAGCATGCTGTAACACTGCAGAAGTGTCAGCTGAATCTGTAAAGTTTCTTTTCACAAACAAGCAATCCACTTTAACTTTTAAACCAGGCCACTGTACTCAACAATCTGTCCGGCTTCCTACTTTCTTTCGAAGTTTCCGGGCTGCGGTTTGAAGAAGGACAGGCCATAAGAAGTTTCTTTTGTTCCATAGGAAAACTGAAAAGTCACCTTCTCCGCACGGCCTAAAAGGTTAGGGAGTTTGAGGCCAAGGACCTGGGAGGAAAAGAAACAGAGGGTGGTTTCCATGGAAGGAAGGGTCACTTTAAGAAAGGCTATGTTGGCTGAGGGACTCGCACAAAAACAACAAAAATGCAGACTACAGACCTAGCCCTTCACCTCTAACTGCTTTCACCCTCTAAAGCACGCCTCTGCTGAGAGCCACATGCCGACCGACACGGGGGAGGGCGGACTAGCTCACCGAGAAGCTCAGGAAAATCAAGGCGACAGCTTTGGAGTTTAGGGGAATTTGAACAGGAAACTTAATATGAACATTCCCCAAACCATTCCTAATTAAACTCTCCAAGGCATATTATAATCAACTCTAGGAAGATGAATGAGAAACCACGGGTTAGCTTACAAAAAAAGATTAAGGTGCATGAGAGAGTTTTGAAAGCATCACCAGTTTTTAGAGTAGTCACATTTTCAAAGCTCCTAACTGAAAGCCCCCCCAGGAAGGAGATGCCAGTGTCCTACCATGCTGCCCTCATTGTTCCCAACCATGGTGTTGTAACTGCCCGTCAGTCTCCGCAGTTCGGTGACCTCAAAGGTAACGTCTAAGCCGTTGGGCAGCGCGTCATCACCTTAGCAAAGAGAAAATGGTAAACACTAAGTCAGCTACAACATGTGGTTTCATTTCAGGTCCCGCTGCTGAAAACCACAAAAGGCAATCGGCAGGCTCATTTTATTTCACTCTCTCCTTTGCGAAGCGCACCATCTCTTTGAAAGTTTAAGAACACTCCCACACAAAATCACAATCACCTCTACAGCAGAACAGCCGCGGCTAGTTCCTGCGGCAGAAGACACCAAAACACAGATGCTGCGGCCAGGAGACGACCAGAGGTAACATCACCCAGTTAGGCACATGCCGCGTGCTCGAGGCACTTGCTCTCCCACCAGGCAGGCAGGTCCTCGAAGATATTTGGGGCCTCAATTCAACTGACATTAAAACCTAGAATTCACGTGACAAGACAGATTCTAGGAATCCTGAAAGAGAAGCCACAAACGCGATACCAACGTAAGAGGTGATGGCTCTTGTCCCTCCTCGAGCTGGGGTGTGACGCCCGCGGGCTGACTGGTGTCTGAATCCAGCGCGGCTGCCCAACGGCCCCCAATGGCCATGGGGTGCAGGGCAGCAGGGCCGAGTTCCAGAGGGGTCTGCGGGCCTTTCCCAGAGAGGCGGGGGCTGATCCTGCACCCCTGGCTGGACATCGGCCGCATCAGGGAGCCACCAAACTTGTCAATGCCCAGGCCCTGGCTCTGGAACCCTCCTATTCAGTCCAGGGGAAGCCTTGGCGCCATATATATATTTTTTCAATTAAAGGATTTTACTGTTTAGGGCAGTTTTAAGTTTATAGCAAAACTGAGCAGAAAGTACAGAGTTCCCATCCACCCCCTCCTACCCCTCACACACATCTCCCCTGATGCCGACAGCCTGCATTAGTGAGGTACCTTCATCAAAACTGAGGACCAAGAGTGAGATGTTACTATTAACTCAAGTGCGGTGCGCACTGGGGTTCACTCTTGGTGTGGTACATTCCAGAGGGTCTGACAGATGGATAGTGTTGAGTACCTACCACTGCAGAATCGGGGAGTTTCACTGCCCTAAACCATCCTTTTTATGGTCATTCCAATGTGCACACTGGGTGGAGAACCACAGACAGAGGTGGAGTGGGTGACCACGTCCACATCACATTTACAACAGAGGCGGGGAGTGCTATAACTAAATGCCATCAACACTCGCCACCAAGAAAAACACTCCCGAGTAGTGCTGTCACTCAGTTGTGACCTGGGGCAAGCTACTCAACCCTCTCTGAGCCTTGGTTTCCTTAGCTGAAAAACATTTTTTCTGAAATATTCATCCTTCCGCCAGGTTTTTGTGAGGCTTCACCCGGATCACATACACAAGCCCTCGCGGCAGAGCTCAGCACCGGGACGGCTGTTTATCCCCATCCCTCGAGGGGGCAGGGACAGCTGGTCCTCCCAGCGACTCGTCTCCCTCTGACCAGTCCCATGAGTGTCAAAATCTAGCTGCATCACAATCACCCGGAGGGCCCATTCTGCCCACATGGCCGCCCCACCCGAAGCTCCTGCAGCAGCCGCATGCTCTGCGTGTGCAGCTCCGGCAGGTTCCCAGGTGAGAGCAGCGCTGCTGCTCTGGGGCCACCCTGAGCACCACGGTTCAATCACAAGCAAATCCTCAGGTCTCAGCCGGCCACCTAGACTTTGCTTCTCAGCCTCCCGTGCAGCTAGGTGTGGCCACGTGAGTAAGTCCTGGCCAATGGGATGAGAGGGGAGTGCTGTGAACACCTGGGACAGGTGCTTCAAGGGAGGGGTGTGCCCCTCCACTCTCCTTCCTCCTTCGTGATGCTGGAATGGTGCTCAGCCCTCACAGGGACCAGCGGACCCGAGGGATGATGAAGTGACAAGATCCCATGGGAAAACCACACCACCCAGTGGCCTCAAGGAGCAGAGCTACGATACCAGCCCATCAGTCTCCCAACTGTCGTGGAAAGAAAAAGAGACTTCTCTCTTGCCTAAACCACTGCTATTTAGGGTCCCTGTAAGTCAGGGATGAATCTATATTCCAAATAATCAAAATACTTTTCATTTATATAGCATTTTATATTTTTTCAAGCATTTTCAAAGAGCTTCATTTATATTTTCTCAAAATTATCCTCCATTCAACCTTGGAAGAGTTCACATTTTCACTTCAAGTATTTCTTTTTCAATGGACGTCTACCGAATTCAGAATTCCGTCCACCACCACACATGAAGGCCTTCACGACCTGGTCTCTTGACTGCTCTTCTGCCTTACCTTTCCTCCCTCTCATTCCCCGACCGCTGCATTTTGGCTACGGAACCCGTGGTCCACGCAACGCCCTCCTCTCTCTGGCCACGGGCCCGTGAAACACTATCGTTCTCCCGGGACAGTTTCCGTCCTTCCCTCACCACCAGCCCCACTTCCCAAACTAACTCATCTCCATTTTTTAGGTCTCGGCTTACACATCACCCCTTCCAGGAAACCTTCTCTGATTGCTCTTTTCCTCTGCCCCTAAAAGAGGCCGAGTCTCCTCCCGGAGCTCCCTCTTACAGCAGGACACAGCAGCTGAATTGTCATCACCTGTTCATCTGTCCCCCGACCCTGCTCCACCTGACCAGAAGCTCCTTCAGAAGACCATGGCTTGCTGGCTGCTGTGTCTCCCTGGCACCCAGCACAGGGCCCGACCTGCCCCAGTAGCAGGGACTCACCAATAAAAGAATAAACGTTGACTACGTTGAGAGACTTGCCCAATATCACACAGCAAATGACCTAAAACTGACATCTGACTCCTAGCGCCCTCCTCTTTGTAAAGCACACATTGGGACGGAGCCTGCCAAGAGTCCATCTGGACATCTGCAGGGCTGGGCTATCCCTCCTTCCGCCTTTCACAGAACCCCGGTACTGTCCAGGGGCTCAGAGGACAATACCTTCAAAGTTCACCCGTTCTCCCTCGGCCTGATATAAAAGTCCAGCTACTTCCCCGAGACTGCTAACTACCAAGACCCACACGTGTGATGAGCCTCCAGGTGCTGTCTACGTCTGGCCACAGACATAGATCCTCGAGGACGGATGGAAAGGGACATGGAGAGATGTGTACCTTGACACGTATCAATCAAAACATCCACTTGTCTAAATATTCCTAGACGAAGCAATTTTTCACGGGCTTCGTGAGATTTCCGCATTACCTACAAGAGAGAAAAAAATAGAGAATGTATCCCTCTAAGACAGAGAAACATAAATGGTGGCTATGTGACCAGGCTGGAGGTTTACCATTTGGTGCTAAGCCACCGAAAGCACCCCTAAGACCACTCGTGAAAGAACGGACAAAGCACTTTAGGGGGCAGCAAAAAAATCCTATTCAGGAGGCAAACCCAAGCTTCGGGCAGACAGCAGAGTGCCTAACACAACCCCTTTCCTGTGACACGGAAATGAATTAAATGCACACAGCCCGGCAGGTCTTCCCGGAAGGGAGCGCCATCGATTGCTGACGGTGGTTGGGTTTGGCGGAAGGAAGGCTTCTGTGTGCGAGCCTTCTGAGCCGTGCTGGAACTCTAGCCATTCTCTAACCGCTGTGCTATGTTTTCTCGTCGGCGCAGACGGCAGTTCTTCCCGACGCCCGGCGTCCTCCCGGAGGGACAGCAGAGCGGGGGCAGGGCAGCCACGGTGCTCAGGAAGCAGGGCAGGGAGGACCATGCACAGGAGGCTGAGCTAGAGCCCGTCCTACAGGTGCACGGGGGCACTGGAGAGCTGCGGGCAGGGGAGAGGCAGGACGAGGTCCTTATAAGACACAGCTGACCGAGTGGGCGAACGCGGAGAGAGGAGAAACCCGAGACGGAGGGAAGCAGGAGGAGAGCCTCCCAGCTGGGAGGGAGCCGTGAGCGAGGCTGGGCCGGCACAGGCCACGACCTCACAGGGGAGGGCAGACTCCAGACGTCCCACAGGCAGAAGCCCAAGGACAGTCACTGATTGGATGGAGGACACGAGGAGAGAGGAGGCTGCACAAACTTTCAGCTCTGGGCTGGGTGCTCGTTGGTGCCATAAGAGGTCAGGGACAGAGGCCAAAGGACAGGCTGGGGGAGGGGAGGAAAGACGCCAGTTCAGTTTTCAGCAGCCTAGGGCTGGAGATGCCTGTGGCAATTCCAGGAGGAAACGCCAAGCCGGCGGCCACACGCTCGGGCTGAAGCACACGAGAGGAACTGGCTGGAGACCGAGGTGGGAAGCTCTAACACACGGAGGCAGCTGACCCAGGGCTGTGGGTGAGGACACCCAGGACACTGATCCTCATTTATGGATGGTCGCAGGGAAAGAAGCCAACAATGGGGGCTCAAATGAATGTGATGAGAGGTGGGAAGCAGCCCAGGAGAGGGTGGGATTCATGGAAACCAAGGGGTGGGAAAATGGCAACAAAGAGGGAGGATATAAACAAACTCAAAAGACAACAAAGCAAGAAAAATATATTTGACACGAATCACAAAGTGATTTTTTTTTGGTGAGGAAGATTGGCCCTGAGCTAATATCCGTTACCAATCTTCCTCTTTTTGTTTGAGGAAGGTTGTCGCTGGGCTAACATCTGTGTCCATCTTCCTTTATTTTGTTTGTGGAATGCTGCCACAGCATGGCTTGATGAGCGCTGTGTAGGTCCATGCCCAGGATCTGAATTGGCAAACCCAAGGCCAGTGAAGCAGAGCACGAGAACTTAACCACTCTGCCACTGGGCCATCCCCACAAAGTTATCATTTTTTAACCCTCAGGGAGCTCTTATAAGTTAGCAAAAGCCTAACAATCCAATGGAAAACAGGGGACCCAACAGGTAATTCATAAAAGAGAGATACGAATGGCCAATAAACGTGTAGAAGGTGCTCAATCTCATTCATAATGAAAAAGTGCAAATTAAACCAATGAGCTAGTATTTTTCACCCAGCAAGTTGGCAAGAATTTTAAATGTGTGACAGCGCCCAGTGTTAAGAAAGAGGCCCTCGCATCCATGCGGGCAGGAGTGTGAACTGGTGCCTCTTTGCAGAGCAATATGCAACCCCGTGAAAATGACAGCACACATACCCCCGACCTAGCATCCCACCACAGGGACTTACTCCACAGACACACGGTCGCTCACATACAAGGATGATTGCCGCAGCACCGCCCCTAAGAGCTACACACACAATTGATTTAAACGTCCTCCAACAGGGAACTATTTACAAGGAGCGATTGAAGTCCACACAATGAGCTACCACGCAGACTGTGCTGACGCGCAAGGACCTCCAGGCCAATATCAAAAACGAAAGATGCAAACAAACATGGAGAACGGGAGATTGTTTAAGGGCTCTATGTGTTTATCCACGTGTACAACATACCCGAAGGACACACAAGAAGTCCTCAGCACGGCCACCTCTGGAGAGCGGGCCCGGGCTTGGCAGGGGACGGAAACATCTGCGGTTCATTTCAATACCCTCTGTGCCATCTGATTGTTTTACACTTTTTTTTAAAACTGTGCTTATGTAGTACTTCAATTTTTTTTTTTAATGCCAATATTTTAAAAGTGGGAGAGGCCAAACACTGTTGAAAAGTCAGGTAAAATAGGGACTGAAAGGAGCCAGCCGGACCCGGCCATGAGGAAGCTCCTGGTGACTCTGCCGAGGCATGTCCACGTGGCTCCAAGGACAGAAGGAAGCGCAGAGGAGAGGAGGGAGATGCTGCAATCCAGGAGACAGCCTGGTCAGTAAGTGGAGCAAGGCCCAAGGAGACAGCGGGAGTGGGGGACAATCGAGGACCCGGCCCACGAGGTAGGTAGGCCCCGCGGAGAGAGCGCACTAGAGCACTAAGCAGGGTGCCAGGGGAGGAGGCAGCACGCAACACGCTCCGCTCCTAGGACACTGCTGGGATGGCTGCAAAGAACACAGGCATGGACCAGCCTCAGAAAACGGACAGACACCGTCTTCTCCGGGACAAGGGGGAATGCAAACACATGTACGTGTGTGGGAGGCACCCGGGAACTGAAGGGGTTCAGCCTGGGGTGCCAATGCCCCCTTCGGGCTAGGAGGCCAGGTCATTGGTGGAGAGGCTGGGCAGGGGGCTCAGTGGTTTGAGGAGATGGGAGATTCACGGGGTCTTCAGAAGGGAAGGGACAAGACTACAAGCAGAGAATACTTGCCTCAATAAGGTTTTTAGCCTTAAAAACATCTCCAATTTCACACATGATGATATCATCTTTAGTCCTTCCAAGTCCATCAAAATGAACGTGCTGAACCACCACCTAAATGTGACAAGGGGACACTGATGAATAAGTATGATACAGGGCAAGAGATTGGGCATCAAGGCCAAAGACAAATGTCTGAAGTTAATTTCCAGGATTTTTTTTTCAAGTTTAATGATCCACACTTCTTAATTCCAGACTTCATTCTATTTATTTTTCATGCCTTTTCAAAAAACTGGTTTCTTGAACTTACCCTTCGCTGGGTCTGTACTTTCTGTGAATGAGATCTACAAGGTCTCTGCAGACAGACGACCGAGGACCATGTCAGTCCTAGATGCAGGCAGGCCTCAGAGATCCCATGTATGTCCTCCCAACATGCTCCCCAAGCACTGGCCCCCGGATGATGCTGTGACCCCCAATCTAACAGCTGCGCATCTTGCTAGAGATCTTGCGTGGATTTCAACACAGCATGACAAACGCCGTCTCAGAGCCTCTCCCCTCTCTCTGTAGACACTTATTTAACTAAATCTCTCAATAAAACCACACTGATTGCCTATGAGCCAGGTATTGTTCTGAACACTGAGGATACAGCAGTGAACAAAACACAAAACTTCCTGCCTTGATGGAGCTTATATTCTAAAGGGGGAGAAACTGGCAAAGAGCGTAGTGGAGCAGATGGTAACGAGAAACAGAGAGAAATACAGCAGGGCTCCCAGGGAGCACGGGGGAAAGGCGTCACTCACAGGTGATGGAACACCGCCCTGGGAAGGTCTTAAAGAATTAATCAGAGGGGCTGGCCCCGTGGCCGAGTGGTTTAGTCCGCGCGCTCCGCTGCCGGCGGCCCAGTGTTTCGTTGGTTCGAATCCTGGGTACGGACAGGGCACTGCTCATCAAACCACGCTGAGGCAGCGTCCCACATGCCACAACTAGAAGAACCCACAACGAAGAATACACAACTATGTACGGGGGGGCTTTGGGGAGAAAAAGGAAAAAATAAAATTAAAAAAAAAAAAAAAAAAAAGAATTAATCAGAATGTGCTGCATTTAATTTCACAGGCAACGAAGTTCACGAACAGTTTCACTCAAGACCCAAGGTCTTTTTCTGGGAGTAGGGAACACAGTATAAACTTAAGCATCATTTGAGTTTGTCCCTGAAATACTTTTGGTTTTTTTAATCACATAAATACAAAAGTGTGTTTGTTTAAACTTCTCATATAAATTAATCACCAAGGAAAAACTACTTCTCTAAAACCAGAAACCATTTTTCTAAAAGTCACCAGTCTTTCTAAAATGTAGTTAGACACACTCTTCTTTGCTGACAGGTCATTTTACTTTTTCTTTTTCAGGAAGATTAGCCTTGAGCTAACATCTACTGCCAATCCTTCTCTTTTTGTTGAGGAAGACTGGGCCTGAGCTAACATCCCTGCCCATCTTCCCCTACTTTATATGTGGGACGCCTGTCACAGGATGGCTTGACAAGTGGTGTGTAGGTCCGCAACCAGGATCTGAACCAGCGATACCCTGGCCGCCGAAGCAAAATGTGTGAACTTAACCGCTGCGCCACTGGCCTGGCCCTACTTTTTTTTTTTTTCGCAGGGGAAGATTTGCCCTAAGCTAACATCTGTTGCCAATCTTCCTCCTTTCCCCCACCAAAGCCCCAGCACGTAGTTGTGTATATAGTTCTAAGTTCTTCTGGTTCCTCTACGTGAGCTGCCACCATGACACGGCTACTGATAGACCAGTGGTGTGGTTCCACACCTAGGAACCAAACCTGAGCTGCCAAAGCAGAGTGCGCCAAAGTTTAACCGCTAGGCCACTGGGGCTGGGTCATCACTTTACGTTTGTACATTTACATTTCCCTAGTGTTCACGGAAGTGAATGTATCTAGTAGCAACTACTATCAAACCCTTCAGCAGAATACTCACATCTTTGTTTTCCAGAATTTCCTGTTTAGCTTCAGGTTCAACTTCAACAAATTCAGCTTCTTCCCCTAACGCTCCAAAGTCAGGTCCACTAGCTGGAAGAGGCTCCAAGCTCTGAAAGGGAGGGAAGAAACACAGACAAATGAACTTACACAAAAACCCAAAATCTTTTAGTTTTGTCTTTAGACAAAACTCCAGATAACTCAGTACCGTGGCTCCTCTGGTGAGTGGAGGCAGGGGGCGGGTGGGGAGCACAAAGGCAGACACGAGCTACTGCTGACGTACAAGTCTTATATTGGCAGTGAGCGCCTCGGTGTCCAGTGTATTATTAACAAATAAAACAAAAATGTAAATGAACTAAAAGGGTCAGGCATGAACCTGACTGTGCCATGAACCGAGGACTATATACAGCTCGTCTAGTTCTGTACGCCTGAGCCCCATCTGATGACAAAAATAGCTAAAAAGTAAGATGCCACAAAGACATTTATCAGAGAAAAGAAAAACGTTTGCTTTCCTGTTGTTATGGGAAGTATCTTAACTTTTTGAATCAAAGTTGGCTATGCTCTAGGATGACTACATCTACAAGCCAAATTACGAAAACATACTTTTCTGGACCCTGATAGGTTTGTTTCAGTTTATAAAGTCTCATTCACACACTAAGGGGAACTGCACATGCTCATAAAATGGGCCACAAGGTGCTCACTTTCTTCAATTTGAACTGACATAATCTCAGAAGCATTAAACCTCTTCTGAATAAGGGTCTGCAGGCTGTACCTGGGTTAGTACTCCCTGGGAGACACAATAATATTCCACTATGTATGAGAATTTACATGTAATATATTACATACATGCTTGCCTCACCACAGGGATTCCCTGACACTCCTGGAAACAGATTCAGAAGGTCATGTGACACAAGGTGACCGTACAAATAGGCAAGTTTGGGGAAAACTGTGCTGACCAGTATCTCCCTCCTCCTTACTCCATCAACTCTCTACAAATAAGCGCTTTAAAGTGCAGAGACTTCGTGTCTGGCGCCTGCAGTGTGTGCAGTGGTGGGGGCTGCGTGTCTGGCGCCTGCAGTGCGTGCAGCAGTGGGGGCTTCGTGTCTGGCGTCTGCAGTGCCTGCAGCACTGGGGACTTCGTGTTTGATGTCTGCAGTGTGTGAAACAGCGGGGTCTCTGAGCCACCGTCACCTCTTCCCTGGGACACTCAGCCTCTTGGCAGAACAGCCGCCAAAATGTCACTGCTCTCTGGAAAGGTAATGACCCAAAGGTATCACATCTCTTCCCCACCCCTGACCTAAAAGGTCCTCCACACGTGCCTACAGGGATAGACGCACACTGGACTCCTTAGCAGGGCACACAAGGAGCTCCAAAGGCGTGCATCTGTCACTCGGCGCCAGCCCTCACCACTCCCCGCCCTCACACTCATGTTTGTGCACAGCTTCTCTCTGCCCGGAATAACGTCCCCCTAAGTAGCTCAAGGACCCACCTAACTGTCGTCTCCTCTGTGGGCCACCCCCGGCTTCTGCAGGCAGAATCAGACCCTCTTTACAGGGACACCTCTTGACGCCAGAAGTTTATGACCCTTGTAGGTTCTCCTTCTTTTGCTTAGTTTTATCCGCCGCAGCACAGCAGAAGTACTCAAGTTATTTGTGGAATAGGTGAGTGAATGATTTTTTTCTTTTGTTCTTTCATTTAACAAATGTTTACTGAGTGCCTACTGTGCGCCCAGCACTGGGCTAAGAGCTGGGAACGCAGCACTGACCCAGACGGACCAAGTCCTTGCCTCACAGTGGTTTTAATGGAATATTTACATAAGTAAAAAAGGGAAGAGAATGCTGAGCAAAGAATATATCACTTATTTCATATCACTATCCTTTCTTTTTTGTTGTGTAATATTTTAAAAACTGAATCATTACTATAGCTCTCAAAAATATTAACACATTAAAATAGGAAACTTTTAACCTGCACCGTTTCATGAATATGCTTTCTGTATTTACATTTACACAGTGCAAAAAGTATTTTACATTTGTGTCAACTGTGTATGCAGAATATATACTATGGTTAGGAATATATGCACATGTCCATTCTATTTAATCTGAATGCTTAGCAAATACGGTTTGTCCGGGCACAAAGTGCATATTCCATTATGCTAAAAGAATTACATTATGGTTCCTAAAATTCCAAAGCATGAAACAAGGTTCGCCAAAGACCTGCCAGACCCATTTGTATTCCCTAATCTGAAATTCAGACTTGAAGTTTAAGAGATAATGTCTTTACCATTTCACAGTTACGTCAAAGTTTGATGTCCTAAATTAACTGTTTTACTAATAGAGACGCGTCCACTCACCCATATGAAGAGCCTATCACATGACCGGCACCTACAAGACCCTCACCCTCATAGTTTACATTCCAGCGGCTGGAAGAGCAGGCAGGGGATAAGCATTTACTGAAATAAATTTAAATAAATATTTGGATCTAGCCTCTAACCATTAAGCAGATGAGTCAGTCAAAAAATTGTATGGAACACCATGTGCCAAGTACTGTTCAAGGCAGTGCTAACTGAAGGGATAGAACGTGAAATAAATTTACTGGGTTATTAACAGCATCTTTAAAGTGATATAGACTGGAATCAAATAGAAAACAGAAGAAACCATGACAGATACTAATGGTAAGTACTGTTTCACAAACCTGTTGTTTCACTAATGCATGAGGGTACTAGGTAGCAAACATAAAATGTCTTCTGTGACTCTTGACCCAAAAATTCAAATAAAACTTGCTAGTGGAATGTAAAGGTCAAACTAAACACCTGAAAACATTTTTTGTCAATTTATTAATCAAAGGAGTAGCAATTTTAGTATCAAAGGAACTCAACAAAAGCAGACTCCTCCCCCCACCCCTACCCCGATCCCTCGCACCTACTAGGGTGCCAGGCACATAGCAGCCCACTGGCGATATTACTGGAATGAATGAATGAACGCTCCCTTTGCTCAAGATGCTACAAGGGACGCAAGCCAGATGGGATGCAGTCCCTATTGTAACATCCAGGCACGTGGAATCTAAAAGGATAAGACACAAATGCAAACAGAGCTAACAGGGCATCAGAGAAAAAATGTCAAGGAAGTCGGGAGCACATCCAGAAGAGGGGAGATAGGAGGAGGTTTATGCAGGAAGTGACCTGAACTGAGTTCTACAAGACGGCACTACTTGGATACCCACTGACGGGTGTGAGCGATGGGAGGGGAGCTGCGCGCCACAGTACAGTCCGAAGTGTGTCCGAACTGCAACCTGGTTTCATCTGATTGAAAGATCTGTGGAGGGGAGTTAATCCAATTCCGGATGCCAGACTGAGAAGTCCGTGCTCAGTTATTTCGGGAGCTAATGGGAAACCACTGAGAACTTAGGAGCGGGGCAAGCGAAACGATCCACGTTGCGGTAGAAAGGCCGCGTTGCGGGCTGGGACTCAGGAGATCTGAGTTTTGGAACATTCTGAGGCCACGACGGTGTGACCTCGCACAAACATTCATTCTCTGGCCCTCAGTTAGGATTACGATAAAGGACAGCAGGTTGGCAGCGGTCAGTCCGCGCCCGGCACCCCAGTGAGCACTTGACAGGCACTGTGTCCTTTAACTCTCGCGTCGGCCTGGTGAGGAGGCACGATGACTGCCTCCACTTTAAGGAGGAACTAGAGCGTAACTAAAGCACAGAGAGGACTCGTCTTTGCTCGGCAAACAGGAGCGAAGAGGACCCTTAGATGGGTCGGGGGTGGAAGACTCGGAAGGATGCCTGAGCCCTGGGGTCGGTCACGGTTCCCGCGGCGGCTGGGCGGGAGGGACCGGGGAAGGAGACCGGTAAGGAGAGGGGACGCCCGAGGGCTGAGGATGGAGACGTCAAGTCACGGAGAGAAACACTCATTCTCTCTCCAGGACGTCACTAAGGTCGCAGGTCTTTTCTGGGCCCCCGCCTCGCTGAGCGACCTTTGGGCAAGTCACGTCCCTCCTCTCGGATCGGCTTCCCGCTTGGGGGTCTGCGGGCCCCCACCCCCGGCCGGGCTCCGCGCGCGCAGCCCTTGGCGCCCCTCACCAGGGAAGCCCGGGCGCAGCCGCGACATCTCCCGCGGAGCCCGCGCAGAGGTCACGCAGCCCGCGCGTCGCTGCGCCTCTTACCCGAGCGTGCACGGTCCCCATGATTCCCTCTCCGGCCGCCGCCTCGCAGAGCTGCCCGGGCCCGACCAAGGCTCGGCTGGGGAGGGCAGAGGGCGGGTCCGCAGTGGCGGAGCTGCCGGTCAGCGAAACACCCAGAAGCCCCCGGACGCGGCGCCCTGGGGGCGGCCATGATGCCCCGCCTTAGCCCCGCCCCCTGGCTTACGGCGACGTCGCTCATTGGTCCTTAAGAATCTGTGACCCGGATGTTCACACGAACGCCCGGAAGCCCAGCGGTCTGGAGATGGCGCAAGCGCAAAGCGTCCAATGACGCCCGCGAAGCCCCTGGCACGTGGAATGCGGGTCTGCGTGATGGTAGCCCGGGAGCCGGCCCCGGGAGTTGCCCGTGGGTGAGACCAGACCAGCTGGTAACCCTCCTGGCATCCCTGCGCGGTGGTGCCGTGCTTGTCCCGTGCTCCGGCGAAGCACCCGGGCTCGCCACCCCCGGCGGGCAGCAGTGGCCTCGCGCAGCATCTGGAGCTGCGCAAACCCGGGTGGGCGCCTGCTCCACGTCTGCTGGCGGCACGGGCCCTTTCAAGTCCCTGAAAGGCCCTGAGGCTCAGTCTCCTCGTTGCAAAATGAAGGTGATGGTCGTATCTCCTTCCCAGGGTTGGATTAAAAGGGCTCGTGCGTGAGAGACGGAATGTAAAAACGCCTGGCACAGGAAGGGCACTCAGCGAACAGGGGCTAAAGGACCAGTATCCATTCAGCTGCGGCCATTAATATTAGTGAGAGGCATCCAGAGGTCCGGATGGGGGCCATTCACGGCAGAGAAAGTTTTGGTGGGGAAACAACTCCCCCTCAGAAAAAACAATGTATGATAATATGTAATAAATGATAGTTACATTGTGATAAATGCAATGAGAGAAACAAGAGGCAGAAAATGAAAGAGGGCTTGTCAGTATTACGTCGACTAATGTTTCCAGCCCCTGCTGATGACAGAGTATCATTTCGCTTGCTTTTCTCCTCCCCTCTTATCCCCGCCCAGAGATCTCAACAGCCTTTTCTATTTAAATAGCGGTATTCAAAGTCCACATTTCCCTTCTTTCCTGGAAACAGGCAGAAGTCAGCACCTGCCAGGGCCCTGTCCTTCCCGCACTGCACCCCTTGCAGGTGGATCTATCCACCCATCTCCTGGAGACCCGGAACCTACTCCTGGCCACCAAAGTGAGGCTTTTGGGATCTCGCTGACACCTAGCTCAGACCCAAAAGGCTATTTTAGGTGTGAAAACTTTCACGGAGATTTCCAAAGATAATTCAGGAGACTGAGCAAATTTTAAGCCCAAATCACAGAAGCTGGATATTATTTGAAATTCATTCTGCCAGTTCCCTGAGCCTCGGTTTCCTCATCTGTAAAATGGGGATGATAGCAGTTCCTAAGCCATAACGATGTCCTGAGGCTTTAATGAGACAAAGCCTGGGGCCTGGCACACTGTCAACACTGAATAAACTGGATGATCCTCCTGCGTCTTCTCTCTCATTATCGAGGATGCCTCTCCTCAAAGATAGCTGTAAGGTTGACCTGCAGATTGCAACAAGAGTCCTGAGCCAAATATTTGAGAGGCTATTGTGTCTAAGGCACTGGGCCAGGGTGACAGAGGATACATCAGGAAGAGAGTCACAGCTTTACCCTCAAACACCATTCTGACAGTCATAATGTACATTAACATATTAAAGGCTCTGAGAAGTCCTGCAGTATGTAGACTTGTTTCACTTTCTTTTTAAAAAAATTTTTAGTTTTCCTTTTTCTCCCCAAAGCCCCCCGGTACATAGTCGTATTTTTTTAGTTGTGGGTCCGTCTAGTGTGGCACGTGGGACGCCGCCTCAACATGGCCTGATGACCGGTGCCACGTCCGTGCCCAGGATCCGAACTGGCGAAACCCTGGGCCGCCAAAGCAGAGCGTGCAAACTTAACCACTGGGCCACGGGGCCAGCCTCATTTTTCACTTTCTTTAACCCAGTATTTCCTAAATTTACTGGGTCAGAGACTTTTTGGTTTGGGGTTTTTGAGGCTTTCTGTGGCCTTCAGTGGTGCTGTTCACCAGCATTTCTGGTGCTCCTCTTTTGGGCAAAAGGTAGAATTGCATTTCCCAGCCCCCATTCTTATGACTCGCTTTGGTCAACAAGTTGTGAGCAGAAGTGATAGGTGTCGCTTCTGGATGAAAACCTTCAAGCGTTTATTTCTCCCCTCCTCCCTCCTCCCCCAACAGCCATCAGTGCCCCTCCACATGGTGGGACAGCTTCAGGCTGGGCCAACCACGTCTGATGGGCATGTAGCGTGAGTGAGAAATAAGCCTTTTGGGAGTCTTTGTTAAACTCAGCATAACCCGACCAGTCCTAACTGACCAAATCATCTGCAAGATGCCAGCCTTCTAGGAAACTTGGTTTACGAAGTGGTGGTCTGGTCCCATCACAAGTGGCAAGGCCGTTTAGTGACTCCCCTGGTTCCCCTAATAAAATCAAACCCCAGTGTCGGAGGTCACAAGGAAGGGATGCTGGGTCTTCCCATGGATGCCCACAGAGGTCACCCACCCCTTGGTTTGGGACACCCTGTGGCATGTGCTCCCAGGGGCCACCACCTGTGTTTCTTTGTCCCTTTCCTCCTCACCTGTCTCCCAGCACCCGAGGAGTGAAGGTGAGCCGGCGAGAGGAAAGAGCACAGTGAGGGCATTCCACGAGGTGGCGGCCCAGGGCGTGCACAGGGGACTGGAGGACGAGGCTCTGAGCCTCCGGTGGGACTGCGCACTGGACGTGTGGGAGAGGAGGCTGTGGCCTGGGGAGGCAGCTTCTGGGGGCTGAGGCTGTGGGAGCACCTGGACGAGGTCTGGGCCTAAGGACTGCCCCAGGCAGGGTACCGGCGGTGCCCCACCCACTGGGACATTGTTGCAGCAGCCAGGGCAAGGGCGGCTGGCTGGGAACAAGAGGCTGGATTCCAGAGACCTTAAGTGGATGGAGGTGGTGTGGCAGGATTGGGACCAGCTGGCAGAGGGGAGAAGGAGAGGCTCAGGGAGTCCCTGGTTCCTGGCTCCGGTGACTTGGGAGCTGACAGGTACAGGGCAGCTGATCAGAGAGCTGAGGAGCCCTGCACTGGATGGGTTACGCTGGGGTGCTGCTGACAGACGGCCAGGTGGAGCTGGCGCGGGGGTGGGGGAGAGGGTTGGTGAGCAGGTGGGCCCGACCCTCACCTGTGCCAGAGACTAGGGGGCCCTCCTTGGAGTGAGCTCTCCCCAGGAGCAGCTGTGAACTCTCAGGAGAGCAGGCACGTGTGGGCCTTGGGGAGAGCCTGGCCGTCAGGATGGAGGAGGGTCTGGGGTCCCAGAAGGAGAGGGATTCTCAGAGGGTCTGGCCCAGTGTTCAGGACAGAGCATGCGGGGGCCCCGGTCTGGCAGGGCTGGGAACCTTGAAGAAGGGGGTATTTGAAGGGAGTTAGGTGGTGAGGGAAGAGAAGCAACCCTGCAGCCCCTGGAAAAGAGGTAGAGACAAGGAAAAGCGTTTTAAAAATCACATTTATTATGAGTTATTTTCTGATGAAAGTAATCCATGTTGACCATAGAGATTTGGAAAACATACATGAGCACAACAAATAAAATATAATTATGGATAATGGCATAAGGATAACCGCTGTCAGCGCTTTGGTTCACATCCTCTGTCTTCTGTATATACACAGATACCCACGCATTTATTTTTTTAACCGGGCTCGTGCTCTGCACCAAGTTTTGCTATTTACCAAATAAAGACTGTTGCTCCCTGGCATTAAATAGGCCACACACTGATTATTCCTGATAGTGGAGTAGTCCAAAGCAGAAATCTACCATAAATGGGGGGGGGGGGGAGGCAGTATTTGATAAGGTAGGAGGAACTTAAGAATGTTCTTCTCTGCTGATAAGAAAGCCCAGCAGAGCTGGGGAGGTGTGGGTGCAGGGGGAGTGGGGATGGGGTGGCATTGCAGGCACAGATGGGGAGGAAGCCTTGGCCATTTCTAAGAGTATCATACCTGCTTAGTAGACATTTTTAAAAATTATAAAATATATGCTCATGGTAAGAAGGCTGAACAATTTCAGAAAGTAGTAGGAAAATAAGTCCCATGTAATCCTATCAGCCATTTAACATATTTCTTTCCTAACAGCGATCACAGAACTAGTGTATATGTCTATACAGAAATATTCTGGTTATTGTGAAATACAGCTCAAGTGTGGTTCTATGTGCTAGTGACCTATGCTGTGGTTCCGACAGAAGACAGCCAACTGGCAGACTTGAGGGTCAGGGGCTCAGGGGAGGGTGTGAGGGTGTGTCCCAAGGAGTCCAGGTGGGTGTCAGGCGTGGCCTCTCCCACCCCCAGGCCAGCTCAGCAAGGGGACAGGTCTGAGGTTCAGGTGGCCAGAGGAGCCCACCACCCACCAGCCCTTACCTCACATAGGAGGCATGTGCTGCCAGAACAGGAGGCCCCTGGAGATGCAAGGAGCCCTGAAGCAGGGCTTCTAGGCACTAAGTGACGACCCTGTATTTTCACAGGCAGTCCCTGCCCTCTGGGAATTCAAGATGGCAGCATGGCACAAGAGCACGCGGTTTATATAGAGCTTGCTCCTAGAGCCACATTCTTTACTTTGCATAAAGCACTTGGTCTGAACTTACTGGTTCGACTCTAGGTTACTTACACAATGTAGGTGAAAGGAGCAGCTTTCTGTGCCAACATTTAGGATTTTGAGCTTATCATTGTCCTTTTTGTTATACTTCTTAAATTTGAATGCTTAAGTGAGAAAAACAGACACACACATTTCACCTTGAGTCATATTCCACGGTGCCTGCCAACACATCCCCCCACCTGGGGAGAGGGTAGGGCCCTGTGCCGCGCTTGCCTCTGTTAAGGCTGCTCGAGGACAGAGGACAAGGGGAAGGCGGGGGTGAGACAAAAGCAGCACAGGCAGAAGCTCTTCTGTTGTGTTGGCCCGGCCTGGAGGCCAGGGTGAATGTCTAAGGCTTCTTCTGTTAACATCTCAGTGATTCCCGTAATACGTAATTCAACAGATCATAAGATTTCCTTACATTTCCTACAAAACTCTTTATCAAATATTTAGGCTAGGTCAAGAAGGTGTCCCCAAATTCAAACAAGTTATGTTAATGCCCCCTCCCCGGCAGTACCCTCCTTGGAGAAGGAGGGCAACCCCTCCCACCGCACTGACCGATGATTCCTGGACGGGTAGATGGGGGCGCCCTTCTCTCTTCCTTCCAAACCCCCTGACTGCACAAAGGGCAGCCCAGCCCCAGCCCCAGGTCCCCCTCCATCCAAACACCGGCCACCACCCTAGAAACAGGATGACAGCTGAGACACTGCGAACCGAGTCAGCAATGGGCCCTCCATGCTGGGCTTCCTGCAGCCGTTTCTCAACCAACCGAGCTGACAGACTCAGATGCTGAAATAGCAGGTTTCCTCGAGCTCTGGACCACCACGTACACCCCACGGAGCTTACTAGCTTTTCATGATTACAAATTGATTGCCTTTGGTTTCAGTAAACTATGTATTCAGCAGAGGCCGGATCCTCCTTGGAGAAGGAGGGCAACCCCTCCCACCGCACTGACCGATGATTCCTGGACGGGTAGATGGGGGCGCCCTTCTCTCTTCCTTCCAAACCCCCTGACTGCACAAAGGGCAGCCCAGCCCCAGCCCCAGGTCCCCCTCCATCCAAACACCGGCCACCACCCTAGAAACAGGATGACAGCTGAGACACTGCGAACCGAGTCAGCAATGGGCCCTCCATGCTGGGCTTCCTGCAGCCGTTTCTCAACCAACCGAGCTGACAGACTCAGATGCTGAAATAGCAGGTTTCCTCGAGCTCTGGACCACCACGTACACCCCACGGAGCTTACTAGCTTTTCATGATTACAAATTGATTGCCTTTGGTTTCAGTAAACTATGTATTCAGCAGAGGCCGGATCCTCCTTGGAGAAGGAGGGCAACCCCTCCCACCGCACTGACCGATGATTCCTGGACGGGTAGATGGGGGCGCCCTTCTCTCTTCCTTCCAAACCCCCTGACTGCACAAAGGGCAGCCCAGCCCCAGCCCCAGGTCCCCCTCCATCCAAACACCGGCCACCACCCTAGAAACAGGATGACAGCTGAGACACTGCGAACCGAGTCAGCAATGGGCCCTCCATGCTGGGCTTCCTGCAGCCGTTTCTCAACCAACCGAGCTGACAGACTCAGATGCTGAAATAGCAGGTTTCCTCGAGCTCTGGACCACCACGTACACCCCACGGAGCTTACTAGCTTTTCATGATTACAAATTGATTGCCTTTGGTTTCAGTAAACTATGTATTCAGCAGAGGCCGGATCCTGCAGGTTGCAGACCTGGGGCACTAAAGGCAGCGCGGAGGTGGCTGCGCAAAGATGGGGATAGTCTGGCACCTCTGAAAGAACATGCTAGACTTGCCTCCTCAAATGACTCAGAAACTCTTCTCTCCTGGAAACACGGGGAAAGAGGAAGCCCTCCCCGCCCCAGCAGACACCGCTGCCCCAGAAGGTTAGGCTACACTGGAAGATGGACCACCGGGCAGCCTCCGCTTTGGTCTCTAGTGGACAGTCCGCAGGGCGGTACCCAGGTCCGCAGGCGAGTGGGGAGCCCAGCAGTGCCCACTGTGTTCTGGTTTCTGCAGAGAGGGCTGCTGGCTGCTTACCGGCGCCTGGGATCTGAAACAAGTGAAAAACGCTACCTCAGCCGCTGTCCTGCGGCTCTGCGATCTTCGGTCTCAGCGAGGACGGATGAACACCACTGGCCAAGGCTGAGTGTACCACCTGCACACTCCGGGCACTGCAGAGCAGCCTAGCTCCAAGCCACAGCTTCCTCTGACACCCAGGGCTGGGCTGATGTCACCCTCCCAGCCACCTGGACACTTCCCACTGGACATCCACAGGCACGATGGCGCCCATCAGTTTCTTCCACACACACCAGCCACCCGCCAGGGCGTCCTTCCGCAGCCTGCGCCTTCATCCCCCAGGCCTCCTCCTCCTGACTGGCTGCCCCATTCCCTTGGGACAAAAGCAGACCCCAGGACTTGCAAGTGGCACCTCCTTCTGGCCCTGGAGCCTATGGACGCCTCTCAGTCCCACAGGTTCCAGTGAGAACAGGCCCCCTTGTCCTTGGCTGAGCTGGTGCAGCTGCCCTCTCGCTGTGGAGCCCGCTGTCAGTCGGCTCCCATGATGCAGCCTCCTCCACACGGCCACTCGGGTCGTTTCCCAGCGCAAACCGACCATTCTGCTCCCTACTTAAACCCTTCCATGTCGGCCAATAACAATAGCCACTGAGGCCCCATCTCCTGAGTGCCCACCACGTAGCCAGGACTGTGCCAGGGGCTCCCAAAAGCCTCACAGAAGCCCAGTGAGCAGATGAGGGTCAGCCCTGCTGAACAGGTGAGGAAGCCGAGGCCCCCGATTTTCAGGATGAGATCCCACCCTGGGACCTGGAACAAGGCCCTTCATGCTCTGAATCACTTTGCAGAATTCAGAAAGCTGCAGCAGCACCACGTGGGCCACGTGGATGAGGCAGATGGCAGGATTCCCCCCCGAGTCTGAGCTCAGCCGGGAATTGGCATTAACTGGCACCCCCTGCCCCGGGCACACGGAGAAGCCAGTCTGGTCCTGCCTCTCGCTCCATGCCCCAGCCCCTCCCTGGGGTGCAGGCATCCAGAGGTCCTTCCCTCAGGCCAACCAATGCTGCCTGCCATTCCCAGACCTGCTGCTGTCCCCTCTGCCCCTCTCCTGCTTTCTCATCCAGCTCTCTCCTCTGCCAACAACCCTGGGCTCCAGTGGACACACTTCCCCGCCCCTCCCCACTGCACAGCATCCCGCGGGCAGGCCTTGCTTAGCTTTTTCATGGGGACCTCTGGTTTACTCAGCCACCTCCCCCAAGACAGGGCCCCCTGCACTAAAGGATAAACTCCTTCCCACCTGTCGGGCGCTCAGTGATGTTTCTAGAATGGCGCATGAGGCCTGATCAGAGGAAAGGGGTGCCTGGCAGACCCACACACCCACAGCCAAATCATTTACCTGGAAGCGGGGAGCAGACGTGTCATCACTTGAGAACAAATCTGGGAGGTCAGCCACTGCAGCCACTGGATGTCATCAGGAATGTCTGGAAGCCAGGTCACCAGTCTGCAGGAATAAAACCAAGAGACGCACACATTCACATCAGCACAAAGATAAGCTGACACAGAACAAGAAAACACCCAAACCAAAGGCAGATCTCTTACCACAATACCCTTTGTCTGCTAAAAGGCCAGGCTCACTTCTAACCTCAATCAGATAAATTTCCGGAAGGTGGATTCCGGACGTTACGCCTAAAACCTGCCTACCCAAAAGCCCTGAAGTGAGGTTAGGCCAATTCTGAGGAAGGGAAGCTCAAGGGTTTACATGGAAGTAAAAGAAAAAGTCTTGGTTTTCCAGGATTCTACGTGTCTGTGGCACGATGCCCCGACGCAGAGACTCAGAGACTCTGGTAGTGGAGACACCGTCCCCTCCCCGCAGCAGTGCTGTGCTTGGCCATGCGCAGGCCCAGCAGAGGGAGCACAGAGGAGGCCTGACTGCTGCCCTCCGCAGCCTCCCACACCCTGGGCTTTGATAAATGCCTGAACAGACCTCGCCCAGGGCCAGGCGGTGTGGGGCGCAGGCGGCTAATTTGGTGGGGGTGAGGAAAGGATCTGGGAAAGTCCACCGAGGGCCGGAGAGCTGAGCTGGACTTTGAAGGATGGGGTGGGCTCTAAAAGACGGACTGAAGGACAAGCTGGACGAACTCGCTAAAAACAAAGTCAACACCAGAGTAAATCTGCGGAACCCGGTAAAAGGTAAGACGGGTGCCCGGGATTCCAGCACCCACAGGAGTGTGCCTCACGTCCTTCCCAACGTACCGTGAATAACACCCCCCCAAGAAATGTGTGGACCTACAAGAAGCGACAAACCTTGAGCAGCAATGAGTGGAGAGGGCGGGGCAGGTGCTCGTCACTGGGGCTCCTGCCGGGTGTTCCGCGCAGCCCCACGGCACAAGGAGCCCAGCCCCAGGCTGAGGGCCTGGCAAGGAATCTCTCACTTAGTCGCCACCCAACCCCGTGAGGAAGACACAGGCCACATGCAACGCTCACCTCTGGACCGCAGCGATCGCGGACTCCAGAGGCAGCGTGCAGGGCAACATGACATAGGACATCACCCTAATCAGTAGGAAGTTGCAAAACTTGCTCATGTATCCACCTTGGGGTTTCAGTGCTTCACTCAGTGCTGAAAAAGACAATTTGGAGGTCTGTCTCCCTCCAGCAGAAAAACCCAACCACCTTACCCAGGGGGAGCCGGGAATTTCTATGAAATACACAAATCCTGGCAGCCAAAGAATCAGCACCCTTCACAAATGAGATCAAACGAGGAACGTGCCCAGAACAGCCCTTGGATAGCCACAGGGTACAGGGTTCCCAATTATCGACTCCCTTTTAAATTAACAATTATTTTTGGAAGAGTACACACACTTCTCAAACATCCCACTGGCTTTCTTAGCTTTTCCTTGTACCTTCGGCTGGATTCCATCTCCTTCTGCCTGGGACCCCCCCCAGCCTTCTATTTCCCCCCTGAAGGACCTCATGACGCCTCAAACCACGTTAACCTGGGCAGCTGCTGGTTTGTGCAGCTCCTAGGGCGTCAGGGCCTTGGGGGCAAGGAATGGTGTCCCGTTCACCTTTGAGTTTCTCCGAATGCCAGTTGGAAGCTGGTTTGTGCACTCATCTGTCCATCTAACAGCTGAGGACATGATACAATATATGACCATTCAGTGAAGGTTCAAAATTGTGGGTTAGGAGGGAGGGGGAACCAAGAGAGGCCCCTTGAGAAACAAGGCTCTGAGGGCTGGCCCGGTGGCTGAGTGGTTAAGTTAGTGCACTCCACTTTGGCAGCCTGAGGGTTTCGCAGGCTCAGATCCTGGGCACGGACATGGCACCACTCATCAGGCCATGCTGAGGGGGCGTCCCACATAGCAGAGCCAGAAGGACCTACAACTAGAATATACAACTATGTACTGGGAGACTTTGGGAAAAAGAAGAAAAAAAAAAAGCAAAGATTGGCAACAGATGTTAGCTCAGGCACCAATCTAAAAAAAAAAAAGGCGTGGGCCAGCCCGGTGGTGCAGCGGTTAAGTTCGCATGTTCTGCTTCAGCAGCCTGAGGTTCGCTGGTTCCGATCTCGGGTGTGGACATGGCACTGCTTGGCAAGCCATGCTGTGGTAGGCGTCCCACATAGAAAGTAGAGGAAGATGGGCACGGATGTTAGCTCAGGGCCAGTCTTCCTCAGCAAAAAGAGGAGGATTGGTGGCAAATGTTAGCTCAGGGCTAATCTTCCTCAAAAAAAAAAAAAAAAAAAGATGGCTTTGAGATGGAAGGACAGGCAGAGAATGTGTTCTGAAAGAACGAGCCCGCCACTGGGGCCCCCAAAATCCAGTGTGCCCGGACCCCAGGAGCCGAGAGCATGCCTGGTTAACTCCAGATGGGCTCAGCTGGAGTTGTCCTCTGGCCATGACCCTGTGGGAAGGGAAACTGAGCAAGATGCCTGAGTGGATGGGAGGCCTGTGCCGGGAGCTGGGGGGTCCCAAGGGCCTGCCCTGCCGCTCCGCCTCTTCTCTTCCTTCCTAACACACAGCAGAGAAGCCCTGTCAGCCTCTCGAACAGTCCCAGAGAACGACACCCTCTGCCATCCTGCCGCGTGAGGAGTCAGCACCCATGGTGAGCGTGGGCGACAGGGTCTCCAGGATGCTCTCGTCCCAGCGCGGGATGTTGAGACGCAGGTGGTCCAGCAGCTCTTCTCCCTCAGGACTCGTCACCCCCGGGGCAGACCCCAGGCTCATGTGTTCCCAGAGGGGCGCGAGGACCTCCGGCTCTTCGGAAGATAAATTCTGGTATAGATGGGGCCTGTCACAGATGCCTATGGAGGGCACGGGAAGCAACCGTGAGGCGCATCTGGGCAGCAGAGGTCATGACTCACCGCCCACCCACCCACAGACTGACACGTGAGGCTGCAGGCCGTTCGCAGCTAAGTACAAGGCGAGGACGGGACAAAGGTAGGACTTCATCACTGGGAGAAAGAAGAGTGGGGCTGTGAAGCCAGAGAGATGTGGGTTTGGCTCCTGGCTCGATCATTCACTGGCTGTGTGGGCTTCAGAGCAACATGTGGATTCATGAGATGGAAATATAAGGATCATAACTAATCGATAATAACTGAACCACTGGCTCGGCCTGCATTCTAGGCCCTGAGTTAGGAACTTCACGGTCAGGCCTTGCAGCAGCCATTCCACTGCTAGCATTATCATCATCTCCACTTTCCAACCGAGCAATCAGAAGCACAGAGAGGTTAAGAGATTCATCCAAAGCCACACAGCCAGTACATGGCAGAGTGGGATTTGAACCCAGGTCTGACGTCTGAGGTAGCACGCTTCCATCACAAGCCTCAAAAGGAGCCTTAGGTGAGGGAATTTGTGCAGGCACTGCCCTGGGTGCTGGGGCTCAGTAGCTGATAGAGTGAGTGGTTCCTGCTCTCATGGAATTGGCATGTTGGGTGGGGACAGGGGACAGGTAGTTTCAGATGCCCACAGCTGACCCAGGCTCACCTCTTGCTTCTAACCTCAGGTTAAAAAGACCAGGGGCTGCTCCTGGCTGCCCGCACCTTCCTCCCTAGGTTACACCTCCCACTTCTACCGCCCTGGATCTTTCCGGCCTCTACTAGACACGCTGGTCGCCCTCTGGGGACGTCACTTTCCCTTGGGTATATTTCAAAGACTCTGTTCCCACAGGACCTCTGCCCCACCCCCGCGTGTCCTCTGCAGGACCCGGGGAAGCCAGTCTGGACAAGGACCTGGCTTAGATCTTTAAACCCAAACCCCACACAGACGCTGCACAGGCTCAGCCACACAGCAGTCTCTGAAATCACTGAGAATCACCTCGACATCACTTACTCCGAGCTCCCCTGGCTACAGATGTGGGAACGGGGGGGCCAGGGAGGGAAGGCGGCTCGATAAGAGCCGGGGAGGCAGGAAACCGCGGAGTAAGCCGAGTCCAGCCCCACGGAGTTTGCTGTGGTCGTCTACTCCTGGACTGCCCCCAATTTCATCCCCAGTCTAGACTGCTCTCCGGAACTCTGGACTCTGGCATTGGGCTGTCTCTTGCGCAACCAGTCCCCAAATTACCCTGGGGCACCACACACCCATGTGTCCCACACAGAGCTCACCAGCTTCCCTCCCAACTGCTCCCTCCCAACTGCCCTGAACCTGGGAGCAGAGCCCCCCGCTCCCCTCCACAGCCAGGAGCCAGGCTTGAGTCTTCCTCTTCCCAAATGTCCGGTTAGTCACCTCCAAGTCCTGTACCCTCCCGCCCCTTCCGCCACCCTTGTTGCCCTGACCCTGGCCAGGTCTCTAGGTGCTTCATTGGCCTGCTTGATGCTGGTCTCACCCTCTCCGCACTGCAGCCAGGGGGGGTCTTCCAAAGCTGTCCTCTGACCTCCCTCACTCCTGCTTCAGCAGCCCTCAGTGGCTCCCTATGGCTGCGGGATGCAAACCCCTCACCACGTCCACAAGGCCCAGCTTTGCCCCTCCTCCTTTCATATATCACCATCCCTGCCCCTCTCCTCTCTGTCCATCTCTCAGCATCCCCACCTCCACTACTCCAGTTATACAGGCCTTCTTTTTTTTTTTTTTTTTTTAAGGTGAGGAAGATTGGTCCTGAGCTAACATCTGTTGCCAGTCTTCCTCTATTTTGTACATGGGATGCCACCACAGCATGGCTTGATGAGCAGTGTGTAGGTCCTCACCCAGGATCCAAACCCATGAACCCCAGGCCACAGAAGTGGAGAGCATGAACTTAACCACTACGCCACCGGTCCAGCCCCCTACACAGGCCTTCTTTCCAACAGACTGCACTCTGTTGCTTGCAGGACTCACCCCCAGGTCCCACATGCCAGAATGCTCCTAGTCATCCCCAAAGCCTCAACGTGGATTCACATCCTTCTGGAAGCCCTACTTCCCCCACGCCTTGCAGACCCCTGCTATGTGGTCCTATAGCGTCCTCTGTCTGCCAGCAGGGAACTCAGCACACCGTCACCCTCCTTTCTCATCTGTCTGCCACCACAGGACTATGCACCCGGAGGAGCACGGCCACACCTGTCCGTCCACTGCAGTATCCCTGCCACAGAGCCAAGTGCCCAGCACGACACAGTCGCCATTTTCTGAGTAGAGAAATACACAGACACCCTTTAAACCACACCGTCTCCTTGGTCTTAGCCAAAGACTAATTCAGAGGATCGATACATGAATCACCTTTTAGTATTGATACAAGCTGGTCCCAGGCACATCTGCTATTTGGTTCCACCCTAATATTTTGAGAACCCAACCCCCGCAGCCTGGATGAACCAGAATGACTCAAAGGCAAGAACCTGCCCCAGAAAGGATAACTGGTCTAGTGGGTGCAACCCACACCTGGCTGGTGACAGCCACTCTGATTGCTTCCCTTGGGAGCCAGGCTCAGACACCCTGTGTCACATCAGCCCTCGTTAAACAAAATGTTCACTAGGTCAAGTAGAACAGAAAAACAAACGGGTCTGTAAAATGGGGCAAAGATTCCCCGCCTCACGGGGTGAGTGAGTGAGCGGCTGAGCAGGACCGTAGGTCAAGGTGCTGAGCACGGAGTGACATCACTAACAGCAGCTTCTGGTTTACCAGGACTGCTACCAAGAAGCCGTGCAAAGGGCCTATGTTCCCCTCGCCCGTACGTACCATTCTCCTCCAAGAACCTGACTGCGTCTAAATACCCTCGAAGGCATATCTCTCCAAGCACCTGCAAGCAGATAAGCACATTAACTGCAGGGGGTGCTTCACCGGCACCACTCAGCTCAAGGTCACCTGAGAACGGTCGAGACAGACCGAGGACGCCACCAGGCCTGGAGCCCCTTCCGCGTGCCGGGAACAGCCGAGCAAGGCTCGACAGAGGGCTCTGTGCTCCCGGGACGCAGCAGCCCCGCTCTCCTGCGGGACTCGGCTGGAATGACATCCCCTCCACGGAGACTTTGCTGGCGCCCCACGCGACAGGGGCAGGTCTCCCTTGGTCCCTGGAGGGGCCTCCACCCTAACAAGTATCGGGGCCTCTTCTAGTTGGCACCGGGACAACAACAGCTGCCGCCTCGTCCGCACACGAACCACACAGGCAAACCAGTTCTGTCGGACAGCCCTCCCTCTCTCCGGAGCACACGCCGGTGGTGTACATTGCACGGGGCCGCCTTCCTCCTCCCCGGGGAACTGTGAGCGTCCACAGTCTTACTATGTTAGGGCGGTCAGGCCTACTGAAACGACGACAGCCAAGAAAGATTAAACCACCAAATGCAGTGTGGTTCTGGACCGTGGCTGCGAACAGCAATCATCACAGCCAGCCCTGATGGCCTAGCGGTGAAAGTTCGGTGCACTCGGCTTCGGCGGCCTGGGTTCGGTTCCCGGGCGCAGAACCACACCGCTCATCTGTCAGTGGCTGTGCTGTGGCGGCAGCTCATATAGAAGAACGAGGACTTAACAGCTAGAATATCCAACTATGTCCTGGGGCTTTGGGGAGGGGAAATAAAAAGGAAAGGAAGGTTGGCAACAATTGTTGGCTCAGGACGGATTTTTCCCAAGAAGAACAAAAAATCATCAGGGTCACTTAAAAAAAAATCCTGCTGCACCCAACTTAAACCACAGGCCCCGGAAGTGGAATCTGAGCAGACGCTGTTTCAATGTCCCCCAGTCATCCTCATGACCCAAGCAGGGGCAGCCCTCGGCTTCCGGAACAAGCCACTCTTCTCCAAGCTCTTATTCAATGAGGGGTCTGTTCGTTCGTGTAGAGGACAGCTGGGAGATCTCCCGGCAAAGAGGGAAGCAAAGAAGAGCGGCGCCCCCAGGCCACACAGCCCCCCGCCCCCTCACCTTGAGATCCGGAGGGAACAGTGCTCGGATGACCAGGTAGACGTTCTCCGAGCAGAGGCGCAGGCTGAGCCTGGCGAAGTCCATGTAAAGAAAGTTTGTGGATGTGGCTTTGGGGCAGATGTCGAACTCCCCATAGAAGGGGGACACTGTGATGGTAGTTTTCGCATCAAAGAAGGGTATATTGTTACTCAATCCTCCATCTACGTATCGCTTTTAAGGGAGAAAAAAAAAGGACATATGGTCAGCAGCCCTGGGCAGGTGTTTCACGTGGTTTTCAGATTCTGGGCTGAGGCTTCCCAGAGCCAGAGGCTGGTGCCACGGGATCTCTGGAATCACTCTTTCAACAAATCCTTATTGAGCATTTCTGTGCCGTGCCAGGCCAGGCTCTACGCTGGCATGTAGGGTTGCTACACACTGTTGTGCAGTTTGTGCACTGCACAAAAAGTGCCTGGCAAAGAGGCAGATGGAAGGTGGAGTCTAGTCCACGTTGTGTTGGCCAAGTCCTAAGCCCGGGCAAGCACCCATAGCCACACTCTTGTAATCTGCATAAAGGGGCCATATAGACCAGGGATGCTGGGTGCACTGGGGACAGTGTCCTAAAGGATACAGATGGTCATGGGTTCAATTCCAGAGCCCCTTGTTGCTGGGGAAACCGGGGGCAGGATACTCAACCTGTGAGCCTGCATCTCCCCACATTTCTCATTTCTCTCAAAATGAGAACCAACACCTTGAGGAGTTTGGGGACTCGAATGCAACAGTGACCCTGAGACCCAGACAGGCCCCAGAAAAGGTCCTCTTATCCCACAGCTAAGCGGCATTTGGGAGAAGTTCCCGTGAGCATCAGTTTTCCTGCATTCATATCCTTAAAGGAGCTCAGGCTGCGGCAGGCAGACTCCGCTACAATTTGGACCGAGTCTGCGTCTACCAAGCCAACGTCGGCACAATTCCCAAACCGATGACCATCACAGCCCGGCCAGCAGTGCCCACGGAAGAAGGTCTTCAAAGATGACAGCAGGAAGACCCTCCCCAGCCATCCTTCCGGAGGCAGAAATCTCAGGGCACCCCTTGGCCTCAGACAAGTCCAGGAAAGAATCAGGCTTGTGCAGCCATGCCTTGGTCATCAAGAGATTCTTGACTCCAGAAATGATCAGATGGGTGCACATCAGTATCTTCAAAATTGTAGCCGCACAAGGTCCACAGAAGACGTCGGAACCATCAGAAACCTCACTGGCAGAAAGGCACACAGGACCCAGTGTCAGGAATCTTGAGTCAAGACTGAGGAGCGAGGAAGCAGGTTGACTGTTTCTCACTCAAGGGATAGTCTAAAGCCAGATGTTCCTTCGAATTTTTCCTTCCACTCTGGACGTTTCTATGGTAACGTCCTGCGTTTGCTTGGTAAGATCTCGAGAATGATCTGTTCTGATTTTCAGCAGGTTTCTGCTGAGTCTCCTGAATGGGTGATTGTGTACCCAGTATAAGGAAGTGGGAAGATAACAACAACAAGAATGATGAAATAACCCACATTTACCAACGACTTCCGTGTGCCAGGCTCTGCGCTCAGCACTTGACTGCAGTATTTCATGTAATTCCCACAAAAACTCTATGATATTGCACTATTCTTAATCCTGATTTTTTCCCCCTAAGATATCCTTTTTTTTTTTTTTTTGGCAAGGAAGATTGGCCCTGAGCTAACATCTGCTGCCAATCTTCCTCTTTTCTTTTTTCTCCCCAAGGCCCCAGTACATAGTTGTATATCCTAGTTGTAAATCCTTTTATTTCTTCTATGTTGGATGCTGCCACAGCCTGGCTTGATGAGTGGTGTGTCTGTCCATGCCCAGGATCTGAACCGGCAAACCGGGGCTGCCGAGACAGAGGGTGCAAACTTGACCACTATGCCACCGGGCTGGCCCCCTTATTTTGCAAATCAATCTCAGAGAGGTTAAGCAATGTGTCCCAAGTGGCCCAGCTGACATGTGCCAGGGCAGAGATTCAGTTCCAGGATTGTTTGCCAGACAGAGGCTGAGAATTCGGGGTGACCATTTCATTGCTCCTGGCCTCAGGTTTCTCGTGTGTAAATAGGGACAACAGTGTGTCTGTCATGCGGTTGCTCTGGGGCATGAGCGAGGCTACATAAACGTGCCTTTACAGCTTGCTGTGCAACGTGAGGATGGCACGGCTCTTAAAGCGGGAACCGAGAGGGCTCAAAGCAGAAAGTGCCTCCTGCTCTGAGACGGTGGGATGTCATGTCTTCTCTCCCTAGACAGGGACTCTCAACTTGGCACTACTGACATTTGGGGTCAGATAATTCTTTGTTGAGGGCAGTCCTGTGCACTGTGGGACGCTGAGCAGTACCCCTAGCCTCTCCACTGGATCCTCGTAGCATCCCCCGGCTGTGGCCACTGAACCGTCTCCAGACACTGACAGATGTCCGAGTGGAGGGGCAGAATCATCTCCAGTTGATGACCACTGCCCCACAAGGGGGCTGCCCGGTGGTCTAGCACAGCCCAGCGTCTAGTCCAGAGCCTGCAGAACAGACACGTCAACTTCGGTTGCTCCACCCCAGGCAGGGCTCAAGAACCAGTCAAAACACATTATTTGTTGCATGGAACCCAATCACAGCACTGTCGGCAGCTTCTGCCCAAAGCTGTGGGCTGAAAAGGACAGAACCAGACCCAGAGGGGGCTGAAACTCTCACCCCTTGAGAATGAGCTCTACCTGAAGCAAGCAGCCGATTCTTAAGCATCTCACACTTTAACTAGGCCCTTGGGAACCCGTCTCCAGCGCCCAGCGTGAAGATTGACAGGACCTGTCTACCTTACGGATAGCCAGACTACTGATTCTACATGAAGCTGGTTTTGCTGCCCAGGCTGCCTGGAAGGGGGATGGGCCATGGAACCGCTGTCTGCGTTTGGGGACAGGTTCAGGGTCCCTGAGCTGAGTGCCTCGCAGGCAGGGGCCGTGCAACAGTTTAAAGCAGACTCACCACGCCTCTGAAGGAAGGCGGCATTAGACCACTGAGGAAAGGGATGAAGCAGGAACACATCAAGGCCTGCGAAGACAAAAGGTGGTGAAGCCACAGGCTACAACAGGTGCCCTTTATTCCCCTGGGCCTTTACAAGCTTTCTCCAGTGAGTAGGGCAACAAGCCTCAAAATGCTCTTTGCACAGAGTAGGTGCTTTAATAAATGAGTTGAATGAATGATGAACGAACCTACACACTTGTATTTCAGGCCTAAGTATAAGCTCCTTAACAACATTGTCTGTGGACTTCAACTTCCCGCCGCTGCTCCCTACGAGAGTCGCACTGGGCCATCGCAGACAGGACCAAGAGTAGTCGACTCGCTGACCAGAAAGGGACTAGATCAGGGCTTCGCAAATGCTGACCTTCGTCAGAATCACCCAGAAGGCTGTCAGGACCACAGCCTCTGCGTCCCCGCCCCAGGATGCAGATGTAGTAGGTCGCAGGTGGGGCCTGACAATCTGCAATTCTAGCCAGCTCCCAGGTGCTGCAGACGCTGCCGGTCCAAGGACCACACTTTGAGCAGCACCGTGCTGGCAAGCATTAAGATGGAGGCAACACTGATACACTGAAGGAACGGACTCGTGTGGGAACGGACTAGTGCTGGCTATCCACAAGAGCTTCTGGAAACAAGATTAAGTGGAAGATGATACTGGCTGCTGAGGGGCTGCTGGTTGTATGTGCCAGGCTGCTGTCTCATACAGACCTGTGTTAAGTGAAACCTCGTCCCAGTAACTCTCATAAAAGGCATCAGCCAAGTTAAAGGGTATTTGGATATTGCAAATGATCCCCCCACTAGACCCTGCTGGCAGAGGTAAATAAGAATGTTCCCACCCTTGCAGGTTCTACTCGAGGCGTCCTCATTAAGGAACATGGAATGTTGGGAGGAGGGACACACGTGGGATGGACTTCCTGGAGGAGGTGGTCATGAGCCGAGTCTTGAAGGATGGGAGGCATTATTTGAAACAGAAACTGTCCTGGAACACGTAGGGTTTATACATGCTATGGACCTGACCACCAGATGCACGTGGAGTTCACGTCACCCTGGTGCAGTAAGCCAACCAGCATCACGGGCCACCAGGTTCTTTTGCATCTTAAGAAACATGGCAGGTGGGCTATGACAGCCCTCTCTGTGTGGCTTCCAAAATGAAACAGTCTTTCTTCCTTGCCAACACCCAGACAAGCAAACCACTTACGTCCACGACTTCGTCTTTGGACCGAAAGTCAGAAACCATCACGTTCTCCCCATCGGACACTCTGGTGAGCGAGATGCATATCTTCCCGGAGATGAGCTGGTGGACGTTGCCTGGGAGGTGCCTGTGCAGGTCTTCTCGGATTTGCCTGTCCAGATTGAAGGACGGGTGGAAGATCCCAATGTTCCGGCTCCTGGCGCTCCGGGAAATTTTGATAAGGATCTGGACCCTCAGCTCTGGTGGGGAGGAGGGGCAGAAGACAAATACACAAAGGAATTTGCCACCCTGGAGATGGGAATGCTTTGTGGCAAGACCAGAAACCTGATGCCAAGGAAGCTGCCGACCCTTTCTCCAGGCCTTTGCCGTCTAACACGGCAGCCCCGTGCACACTGAGCCACAGGAGCCTGTGAAACGCAGCTAATCCAAATTGAGCTGCGTAAAACACACACTGGATTTCAAAGGCTTAGTGCAAAAAAAAAAGGGTGACAAATATCTCATTAATAATGTTTTACATTTACGGGAAAATGATAATATTTTGGCCAAATTGGGATAAATAAAATTAATTTCACTTGCGTCTTTTACCTTTTCAATGCGGTTACTAGGAATGAAAAATGAGATCTGTGGCCTGCACTGTATTTCTGCTGGACAGGGCTGCTCCGGCCCCTGGCCACAGGAACAAGCCTCCAGAGGCCCAGGTGAACTTTCTCCTCACCTCCATCCCGCACAAAGCCAGAAGCCACGGACTCCTGCGCGCCAGAGCTGCGGCACAGACGGCCCTGACGCTGTGGGGAGCAGAGGAGGAGCAGGGGCCTGGAGCTCAGCTTGAACCCAGCCTCCATCTCTGACTAGCTGAGTGACCTCGGGAGGTCACTTCACTGCCTAAGTCTCAGACTTTTTAACGTGGGACGATATTTCCCTATCTTTTGGAGACAGAGAGGATTAGATACAATACAATTGGTGAGGTGCTCAACCCACAGGAGACTCCTAAAAAGTAACTAGACTTAACCTTTAACCTCTAAAGCCAGAATTACCAGAACCTCTAGTGGGCATGGGGCACATTCATGCTCCATCTGACCTCACTCACTGGCTCGGCCTCCTGTGGCTGACCTGCACTGCTTTGGCATGCAGGACCACCCGTCCCAGCCCAAGACCTGGCCTGTCGTAAATTCCAGCATGCAGAAGGACAGACACACGCCAGCCCATCCTGACCCAACCCCTGACCTCAGCTCAGTTCTCCCTGTGTGCGTGGCTCCAGTGAGCGTGGGCAGAAGGGGCGGATTTGCACACAGCTGGCAGGTTCTGCCAGTCTCTCCTGCCAAGTCAGCCTTGGCTTCCACGGACCCTCAGAAGGTCTGCCCAAGTTGCAGTCCTTGGGAAATGCTCCTTGGTGGTCCCCATGTGAGACAGGAGATTAAAGCAGGAACCTGGGAGCAGCTCCTGCCGAAACCTCCAGACCCACTTTCCAAGGACTTGCTGGTTCCTGAGCCTCCTCCAGTCCTGCAGGGCATAGTCCCAGGCTGCAGCTGTCCTCTGCCAGTTAGGAACCCCCTCTACACTGGAGTCCATGTGCTTCAGGCCCCCGAGCCAGTGCATATGAAACTGGTCCCAGTGAAACATTCCACCATGTGGGTGTCTTCAGGTCGCCTTGGGATACAAGGTGTTAAAACCCAGGGTGTGCACACTGGCCATGCGGTCAGTCCACTCCTCCCCCGCGGTCACACTTCCTGCCCATTGCTCCACTCCCCCTCAATGGAGAAGGCAGCCAGGGTGGCCTCCCTCCAAATCCCCACCTCCGGGTCAGCCCAGGGTCTGCTCACTCATCCTATCCAATGGCAAGGCTGCACCTACTGGTAGGGGATTCCTGGCCACTAGAAGCAACGTCACTCCCCGTTGGTGGTGCCCAACTCAGCAGTCCCCAGGTAGAGCAAAGAGCAAATTGTTAAGAAACCTCAGATAAGCAGAGGCTGACAAGATGCATTATCTTTCCATCTGGGGACCTGTGGGTGCCAACCGCTCCAGGGTACCACTTGCCCCAGGCCCTGCCCCCTGCCTCAGAACCCCAGGCCAAGGATGATATAATCTAGTAGTTTGGGCCAGCTGGGCACAAGCTCCATGTCCATCCCCCTCACCCCACTCCCCAACAGGCACCCACATGGACAGATGTTTAATTAGGACAAGAGTCAAATGCACGGGACCTCGTGTCCAGTGGCAGGTTGTGTCTGTGGGGAGTCGGGGCAGGATGGGATGGGGGATGTCCAGGGACCCCCCTCCAGCCCCCAGGAAGCGTCTCACATACCAGAAGAGGAGGAGAGGAGATCAATTTCATACCCCCACCACCCCAGTTCCGAACCAGCCAGACTGCCCAGGAGGACTCCAAAGACTTGCCCCCGCCCTGAGAGGCACCTAGTCGCTGGAGGGCCCTGCGGCCACCAGAGGCGACTCCAGAGGGAAGAAGGCACCCACCCTGGGACACACGCCAAAGCCCCCCCCTCCTGGTCGGACCCAGGGCAAATTGGGCCTTCCCTTCGGCAGCTCAGCTCGCCAGCGCCTCCCCAGCAGATGTCGGGGAACGCAGGAATCCGCTCCATCCTCCGCCCACGCCTCGTCCCGCTCCCTCCTCCCAGTCGCTCTGGGAGGACCCGGCTCTCAGTGCCGGGTGAAGGCTTCCTTCAAGCTCGGGCCCTAGACGGGGATAGGACTGGGGGTGCGCTTGGGGTTCTCAAGCCCAGAGGAGCCGCCCCCTAGGCGTACACCCCTCCCAGACCGAGGGACAGAGCCCTCCGTCGCGGCGCGAGAGGACGCAGAGAAGGAGATATATGTTTGGGGAGGGGGCCCTCGGGATGTACCCCGCAGTGTCCATGTCCGGTCGGCTCCACCGGGCGCCCCACGACCCCTAGAGTTTGCCCGCGTCCCGGCCCGGGGGCGCCCCCTTCCCGTGCGGAGCCCGGGCGGCAGCCCCGCATGTACCTAGCGGCATGCCCGAGAGGAAGCTGACGACGTGCAGCGCCCCACCCGAGGCTCCGAGGAACATGCGCGCGTCGCGGAGGAGGTGCGGGGCGCGCTCTCCCAAGCAGCAGGTCACCCCGACGTGGTAGAACCCCAGGAAGCCGCAGCCCGAGAAGGACATGCTCCAGCCGCGCTCGGGGTCGTACATCGCGACGGCAGCTCGCGGGGCAGGAGCCCGGGACCACAGAGCCTGCGCCGGCGCAGGGGCGCTCTCAGCCGGGCCTCCGCCCCGCCGCGCAGGTATTCCCTGCGTGACGTCACCGGCGGCCCGCCCCCCTGGGACCATGCAGATGGGCCGGTGGGCGGGCCCACATGGAGCAGGACGCCCACCCCTCCCTCCTCTGGGCCTGAGGTCCCGGCGGGGGCGGAGAAGCTGGAGGCGCCCCCCAGTGCTCCGTGAGGATGGAGGGAGGTTTTCGGTAACCTCCCGGCAGCGGGTGTCCTGGGTTTCTTTTCATCCCAGCATTTGGGTCCTTTGTATGCTTTTCTCTTTTTACGCGGGGACTGCAAGGCTTAAGCAGACGCCCCATCTAAATAGAATTTAATGTCTGTTTTCTTGCGGTTTTTATGTGTGATGTCTTCAATTCATGGCAAGTGGTAGAGATTTTTCATTTAATGGTAATGACCCGAAGTTTCTAAGTTTCACGTGTAAGTAAAAACTGTGAATAACAGGCGCTGGCAGCGGGGAGGGGCCAGTGCAGGAACGTGGGGGTTGGGGGGCCTCAGGCCTAGACGATTCCTGGTGCCCTGGGAAGTGTCCCCAGATGCTCCTTGACCCATGCGTCAGGTGCTGCGCGGAGCATTTCCACAGCGGCCCACGCGGGGCAGTCAGGCATCTGCCCAGAGTTCCACAGCCGGCGATCCGGGTCTCCGGGGCCATCCTACCTCTGCAGGCTGGATAGAGAACCGCCTCTCGTCTCCACCCTATAGAGCCGGGAGTGTGGGCTTTGGAATCGGGCCTCGCCCTCTCTGTGCCTCAGTATCCTCATCTGTAAGATGACAGGTGGACTTGTTGTCAGGATTCAGAATGTCACCTGTGAGCACCTGGACACATGGGTTGTGTATGACTCCCCAGTCCCTCTCGGAGCTTCCGGACATTCCTTGCTTCTGCGGAGCCTGTGCTTGGAGGGGTGGAGAGCCAGGAGCCGGCAGAGAGAGGCTGGGCTGCTGCAGGGACTGCAGACCCCAGGGTGGGTCATTCTGTCTGCGCTCTATGGACCAGAATCCCAGGGCTGGGAGCTGCAGGTCCTTAGTGACCAGTGGGGCCAACCGCCACATCACACAGACACTTCATAGATTGAGGCCAAGAATGAGGAAGGAGCGGGTCCCTCTGTCTGTCCCTGACCACGTGGGCTTTGCCGGGGTGCGGATGGGGCAGTGCTCACAGGCCTGCCCGGACTGACTGTCCTGCACACCCACCTCACACTCAGAGCCGGGACAGAAATGAAGTTTCTGGGTGAGAGAACTGAGTCTGATGCAGGGGCACCTGGAGTGACAGTCTCCAGCCTCCTGTTCCTCACCCGGGACCCCTCCATCCTGTACCTGTCAGCCCTCCTGAGTTGCATGACCACGCTCAGGACTCATGACGGGAAGGCCAGGCTGGGGCCAGGAATTAGAGGTTCTGCTCGCAGGCCCCAGAGGAGCCATCCTGCCACCAGCCACAGGCATTCATATTCTCCTCCTGTCCACTGACACACATTCATGGTCAGCTGCTTGGGACATCGGACCTCCCTGGTGTGACCCAGATGTGGACCGGAAAGGAGCAGGGCTGAGGGCTCACCTCACTGCCGCGTGTTGACAGCAGGTGGCCTCTCCCGCTTGCTCCAGACAAAGAGAAGAAAGGACTGGGCAGGTTCCGGTGGCCTGGCTCTCAGCCCCTTGCCCAGTGCCCCTGTGGGGCCGGCCTGGACCCAGGTTCCTCACACTTCTGTCTAGCTTGGCTACAACGTTGCAGGTTCCCATTGCTCCAAGGGCTCACAGAAATCAGGAAAACACTTGACTTACTATTACCACTTATTATAAAAGGATACAACTCAGCAACGGGCAAATGGAAGAGATGCACAGGGCAGAGGGAAGACGCACAGAGCTTCCATGTTCCTTCCACCCCCCGGGAGCACCACCCTCCAGCACGTCGATGTGTCCACCAACCTGGACACTCTCTGAACCCGTCACTGAGGGGTTTTTCTGGCGGTCCCATGACATAGACATGATTGATCAAATCATTGGTCGTTGGTGATTAACTCAGTCTCCAGCCTCCCTCTCCTCCCCAGGGGTCAAGGGTGGAGCTGAAAGTTCCAACCTTCTAATCAAGCCTTGGTCTTTCTGGTGACTGGCCCCCATCCTGAAGCTGTTTAGGGATCACCGGCCATCTCATTAGCATAGAAAAGACACCCATCCCTCCAGAGATTCCAAGAGTTTTAGGAGCTGTGTGCTAGAAGCCAGATGAAAAAGAACCCAAATATTTATTTTTTATTATACCCCAGAGGGTCATTGTGAAGTCAGCCGTGATGGACAGACAGCGTGTGGGGCAGTGCCCGGCAGCACCACGCGGGCCGCTGTAACAACGTACCACAGGCTGGATGGTTTAAACTGCAGCCATTACATCTCACAGCTCTGGAGGCGGAAAGTCCAAGATCAAGGTACTGGCTGATTCTGCTCCTGATGAGGGCCCTATTCCTGGCTTGCAGACAGATGCCTTCTCACCGCGTCCTCACATGGCAGAGAGCAAGCGCTCCAGTGTCTCTTCTTCTTCTTACAGGAACAGTAATCCCACCCAGGGTCCCCGCCCTCATGAGCTCATCTAAACCTGATTACCTCCGAAACCCCACCACCAACTATCATCACATTGGGAGTTAAGGGTTCAACATATGAATTTGCAGGGAACGCACACATTCAGTACCTAACAACCACCCTGCGCCCTGGGCAGCAGGGGTCCCTGCCCCGGGTCCCCATCTCTCTCTCTGAGTCTGTCTTTCTCACACCCATGCGCCCACACATGGCCTTTCCTCTGGTTAGGATCCAGCCTCAGTTGCCAACACGTTGAGCCATAAACATCCCGCATCTTGCTCTTGCTGTTCAGGCCCCAGAGAAACATGTCTCCACATCTCTCGATTTATTTGCTCAAAAGAAAAGGTGGTGGCTTCCCCATGGCACAAAGATTTGTAGTTGTGCCCTGCTCACATCAGGCCCAGATGCTGCTTGGAAGAAGGGGGAGGACTGACATGTGGAGCATTTAGGAGAGAGAGAAGAAGAATTAACTTGTGAGATCCTTGTCAAACAGCACGGACGCAATGGGCGTTGCATAATCAAGTGGCGTTTGCCATAAGCAGCAAGCGTCCATTATCTTGCTGCCCTTTATGTCCTAATACCCGGTGCCCGTGATATAACGTGGGATAGATCGGCAGTAGCTGTCCACAAAGGCTGAGGAGCATTTTGCAATATTAAGTTTGTATTAAATTAAGCTGTTAAGCTTGTATATTCACAGGGCTGGCCATAATGCATTAAATTTCACGTCTTCTTTACTTTGCAACTTGGTTGTGAGACAGTAGAATTGCAAATCGTTTTATTTTGGTAAAAACATTTAATAAGATTTTAATTTTCAGTCCTATTAAATGGTTTGTATTTAAAACTTTTAAATAGTTTTCATAGGACATGTAGAGTGACCAGCTCGAACCAGTTGCCTGGGACTTTCCTGGGACACTGAAAGTCCTGTACCCTGGGAAAACTTTCAGTCCAGACAAGCTGGGACAGTTGGTCAACCCCAAGTCTCTTGCCCTGGGCCCTGCAAATGTCAGAGGCAGGTCTACTGGGCCCATAATAATCTTCCAGATGACATTCCCAGCCACTGTTCTTCTTATTGGACAGGAAATGGCCCAACTACTGGCCAGAGACCTATGAGAATGAGAGACCAGCTCAGGATGGAAACTGTCGACCCTCATTATTTACAGCGTCTGCGTTTGTGAATTTGCCTGCTCACTAAAGTTTACTTGTAACTCCAACGTCAATACTCACAGCTCTTTTGGGGTCGTTTATGGACATGCCTAGAGCAGGAAAAAAAAATCTGAGTTGCCCAATATGCCCATTCCCAGCTGAGGTCGAGCAGGCGACTCTGCTGTCTTGTGTCAGCTCTCCTGCTGCAAACAAGTGTCCTTCTTGTGGTCTGTTTATTTATTTCACATTTTTGTGCTTTTTGTAGGTGACTCAGCTGTTGCAAACAGCCCCCAGGAGTAGAGCTGATCTGGCGTTCCCAAGCACGAGCAGGCTGTGATGGGCCCTGCAGAGAAAAACACTTTAGATCAGCTTTGTTCAGGCACCAGTGATTGCGCTGATGGCCACGAGTTCAGCGTTAATGAATCATCAGTATATATCAAATAAGGGGTCTTTAAGCAGAAAACACACATAACATAAGGGTGTGTATGGATCAGTTGATGAAAATGTGACCAGAAGCTCATAGGAACCTAACCCTGCATTTCCTCTAAGAGCAACGATTCAGAAGTCACTAATGGAGGGTAAATGGTGACCTCATAGACCATAACTGCTGCGAGTGATGAGAGCTGACTGAATGTCACTGGACTTTCATGGAGGGGAGCAGGTGGGTGCCGTGAGCTCTAGGGTTCCTTTTTTCTGTAGAACTGGAAATACAGAGAGTGGCCCACTCTGACTGTGCTTGGCCAGCACGGGCATGCTGTGTCCAGGAGGACCCACTCGCCTCCTCCCTGCACTGCCAAGGCCCACGGCCAAATTCCAGCACCTGGGGACCGGCACTGTGGAAGGCCTTGGTTTCTCCATCAACCAGCCAGCTGCCTCCATCCTTTCACAGAAAGACAGTGCCCGCCGCAGTCCCTGCTCAGTGCCCCGGGCTCGTCTGACCCTTCCACGTGCACACACCTTGCCTGACATTTCCTGACCACCACTGATGGCCTCTGGTAGGCCACCCAGAAGAGCCCAGTGTCAGCCTCACTTTATCTTGTCGGCCCGCATCCTTGGCCCAGCTTCCCAGTTCTGGCTGTATAATTCACTCTTTTTTTTTTTTTTTCATTGTGATAAAATATACATAACATAAAATTTACCATTTTAACCATTTTTAAATGTGCAGTTCCACAGCTTTAAGTCCATTCACAATGTTGTGCAACCATCACACCATCCATCCCCAGAACTCTTTTCATCCTGCAAAACTGAAACTCCATCCCCGTTAGACAATAACTCCCCACACCCCCTCCCCCGGTCCCTGGCAACCACCATTCTGCTTTCTTCCTCTGTGAATGTGACTCCTCTAGGGACCTCATGTGAGTGGAATCACACAGTGTTTGTCCTTTTGTGACTGGCTTATTTCACTTAGCATGATGTCCTCAAGGTTCATCCATGTCCCGTGTGTCAGAATTTCCTTCCTTTTTAAGGCTGAGTACTATTCCATCGTGTGTATCGATGGGGTTCAGGACATGCTACCCCAAAATAGGGCACTTGGGCATATTGAA